ACTCTTACTTCTTTCTCTAGGTATTTACCCAATTGATGTGATATGTGCTATGAGCTCTTACTAGTATTTATTGTCAGTTGTTCCTATTGTAAGTCACTTTGGATAAAAGCATCTGCTAAAATGAGTAAATGTAATGTACTTGGCTAGATGCCGACATTTGAATTGGAGCAGTACTTGGGCTGCAACTGATGATCTTTGACAAGTCCACAAGTACAGACAAGAACGCAGACTGAGAAACAGCTACTGTCTAGAGAAGGAAAACGGAAAAGACTGAGGAAAAGGAGCAGCTTACCTGCCATCAAACTGTCAAACATCTGATCAAACATCTTGACACACTCAAGCGGTTCCACCGTGACTACCAACAAACCAGTCTGTTTTACAGAGATGCAAGGAAAAAAAGGAGCCAGAGTACAAGTTATATTAAAGGCTCGTGCAGACTACACGACTTTCAGCGTCGGCTGATGGCCGTGCCATTCGCACAACTTGACAGCATTTTTGAAGTCTTGTGCTGTTCACACTATGTGACTGATCGTTGACAGGGGGTCACACACACACACACACACTACAAGAGCTGACAGCTGTGTCACCCGATGCTGGTCTCCAAACACATTTTGTCAAGAAAACACGTGAAATATCAAACGGGAAAAGAGCGATCCTACACACGAAACAGCCGTTGTTTGTTATTATAAATACCAATTATAGAGACAAAGAATCTGGATGAAAGGATGGATTAGCACACGCAGGTAGCAGGGATCGTCAGAGCAACAGAGAGAGCTGGAGGTGAGTTAAAGGTGCAGCTCCCCAACACGCAGTTAACTCCTGACTCCTGAGGTCACAACTCACGGCCCAAAAAGGAGAACAACAAACGCACGTGGTCATTTTTCAGCTGAGGACTGCAGCTTACTTTGGCTTCAACTCAACAATCAATCATGATTTCAGTTAAATGCTAGTTAACTGAAAGTTACTGTTACCTTGTCTGTGGTCCGCTGGCAGAACACCGACTGCTTTCTGGTCAGGTGCCGTCATGCTGTTGCCAAGGCGACATAAGTTTCGTTTTACGGTGGACGGACTGTAACATTACAGTGTTGTTGTTTTCTTTAGCTTGAAATAATCCCATACTTTGGACACCTTCTTCTTTGTCCCTTATTTTCTCTCTCTTCCTCCACTTTGCAAACAGCTCCATTAAATCATGTCGTGTTCACAGCGTAAGCGCGATGTGCGACAGTAATAAATGTTCCTGCGAAACTCTGTGCTGTATAGTTACATGGATTAAACGAAGCATCGATGCAAAGAATTTGTGTCGCATTTTATTTATCTATTTTACTATTTAATCGATTAATTGTTTCAGCCCTATATAGAATACATTTGTGGATTGTTTTCTGTGGGTTACAAATATTAAAGTCCACTAAAATCTTCCATAGTCTGGCACCAACAAACATGCCACGTTCAAAGTCACTTAAATCCCCTTTCTTCCCCATTATGATGCTCTGTTTGACCACGTCTACACGCCTAAATACACTGAGTTGCTGCCGTGTGAATGGCTGATTAGCTATTTGTGTTAACTAGCAATTAAACAGGTGTACCTAATAAAGTGGCGAGTGAGTGTGTATCAGATCTGCTTTTAGCTTATGAGCCTTCAGAACCCTTAGGTCCTCTGGTAGAGGCCTGTTAATTATCTCTCCAAGTCCCCGTGATGAAAACTGATGTTGAGGTGTCCTTTTATTTAATATGACCAAAGTCTTTGTAACGGCCTTCCAGAGGGCAGCAGAGATATTTTTAAAAGCAAACAAAAGACCTACGTGTTTACCCAGGCTTCATTTAAGTTTTTTATTTTTACTGATACATTGTTTTATTGTATTTTATTCTCTTGTTCTTATATTTGTATGCTCTTTATTGTAGTATTTTATTTGTATTACTGTATCGTTATTCTTCATCTTTATTTTCTTTTTCTTTCAGTACCTTACTCTGCCTCTAGTGTTTCCTCATTGCAAATATGAGTCTTCAGACTTTTTTAAAGCAGCTCTCTGGAATGAGTCCAGATCACCACAGATCTCTTCTGAGGAAAGAGGAGGAGCTTCAGCTTCCTCATGTTTGTCAGAGCTGTTGGTCCAGTTTCTGTTTCAGACTGACAGACAGAAAGCTGAACCTTCAGTCCTTTTGATTATCTGAACAAGAACTAAACTTCTTTATCAATCTCTAAATGACTGAAGCCGTCAGGAAACACAAGCTTTTTCTGTTCAAGAAAACATTTTAATGTCAGAGACACAAACAGCTGACAGAGATTTATGTCATTAAACACTGAAGTCAGTCCAACTTTTCATCAGTTCAATAATGAAACAATAAAGAAATAAAAAGGATTTAAACTGCATTTCTTCTTCCTCATGATGTCGCTTCAAATCAGATCACATGAAACTGCATTTGAATAATTTCACAATAATCAATATTAAAAGATTACTTGAAACACACGTACAGATTTCACTTTCAAACAACCTGAGAAACATGTAAGGAGAGAAGGAACCAGACAGAAATTGTGATCAGTGATCGATTAAGATCTTATCGACCTACAGCAGTGTTACACTTGTGGAATTTTGAAGCACTAATTTACTCATGTAACACGCGTGTTAGTGTCAAGCAAGAAAGTCTGAACATTGCGTGTTGTTAGCCATCCTGCGCGGTTCGCTTGGTCAGTATTTCACTTTATTGGTGACAGCCTAGTTAATATGACAGAAACCCAGATTAAAAGGTGATGATCAGATCAGAGGGAGGAAGGTTATCTTACCGTGCACGAGGATCACAAACACCACAAACATCTTCATCTTCCTGTAGAAACTCCAACAAGCACAAAGTTAATCTGCTTCTCACTAAAGGAAGTCTTCAGAAACCCAGTGAGGACATCAGTTCACAGCCAGCTGTCCCTTTCCTCCTCCTGATAATCTGCTGACCTCTGAGAAAACTTTACTTTCGATTTGAACAGTTTTGTAACATTTACAGTAAGGGAAGGAGGAAGTCAGGTAATGTGAAGAGTATCTGGAAAGAAATTTGATTTTAGTTTCATTTCAGATCATGTAATTGAGAAATTAAGAAAAATTAAGAAGTATTAAATAATAAAATAGCGCAGAGAGACAATGGATCTCATGTAAGAATATTTTCCTTTTCGTCTTGCAAAACGATATTTTCCTAACCTGTGTTTGTGTTGGAGTGGGTGCTCTGTGCCTGAGAGGATCTCTGCGTGTCCTAAAGGTGTCTCTTTATGATTGGCTGGATTCACAGTACAGCCTGGGAGTGGCTGCTGCTGATTGGTTCATTCAAAACATCTGGTCTTTAAAATATCAGGTTTCCAGCGGTCTGACAGCAGCAAACCAAACCCTTTGTTTTGTGTTAGAGCTGGGAGGTTAGTTTTAGTCTCCTGAGGGCTGTTTCACTCTTTACCGTTTTATTACAGCGGCCATGTTTTTTTTTTAAAATCCTCTTTATTATTTATTTATTTAAACCTTTATTTGTGGTTTCTCACTGTGTTTAAAGTTTATTCTTTTCCATTTCAGCATCAGTAAATCTGTGAACAACCGGGTTGTCTCTTGAAGAAAGCTGTTGACAGGAATTCATCTGATTTACCTGGCTCGACATTGTCGCTTTTTCAACGGAAACCGTGGTGCCTCGAAACACACCGTTGTGTACACAAGCACACTTTATTTTCCTGCCGTTGTTTACACAAACTTGCCGCAGCTGATTGGGCAACACCTGTGACACGACCGCCAAACAGAAGTAAACATACCTACAAGCCTACGTTGCAAGGAACCTGGATTTCTAAATTCTGCTTTTGTGAAACAGCTCTCACATCAGGCTGTACAGTACAGACTCTGGATATATTTAAAAACAAAAAAAACTACTCTCTCAAATAATTAAATAAAAACAACAGGGGCACCTCCAAAAATGTAGCTTGCCTCGCAATGCTTTTGAGCCGACGGGAAGTACCCCGTGCTTTAAAGTAACTTACTAGCGGTCAAAACGGCGGCTATAACAAGGTGGATCAATATATTTGACCCGTCACAACCCAAACGAAATGACTCGTTTCACTATCGGAATGTGATCCATTCGCTCAGTAACATTTGAAAAGGCTAAACCAGCCGCACGTAGACAATTTTACCCCCATTTACGTTAGCGAAGGGCTAAACCGGAAGTTAGCCTGCTCGACCGGCAAAAGTCAACCCAGTGGACGCTGTAGCGCTACTGCCGATGAGTGTTTGGGGTGTAATAGCAGAATGACGGGGACACCGACGCACAGGTATAAATGCATGGCTACGTGCGTAGCCTACGGCGTAGTTGCATACGAGTTTATGCATCACTGGCGACAGCGACTGGAGTTTGTTTCCACCAGATGACTGTGTCTGATCTGTTTAAAGTGTAGTAATGAAGCAGGACAGAGCCGCTCTCTGGCCTTCAGGCAGGAGCCCTCAGATTCAAACAGGTTCTTTAACAGAAGCCAACAGAAAACCAAACAAGGCTAGCAGTTTCCCCCTGCTTCCAGTCTTTGTGCTAAGCTAAGCTAATCCTGGACCCACAGAACTGTAGAAGTCTGTTTAAAGAAGGACAGGAGGACAGGGACAGACTGAAACCTTTATTATCACAACAAAATGGACATTAACGTGTTTAGTGTGTGGAGTATTTGGGCAGCTGGTTTCCCAGTATGACTCGTCTCTCCACTCCCTCCTCTGAGATGCTCGCCAGTCTGACCACGCCACCGCTGGAGCCGTCTCTCTCCATCGCCAGAGACAGAGCTGTGAGACAAGACAGGAGAGAGACAGAGAGTCAGTCAGAGCCAGTAGTCCTGCAGTGGACCGCAGTTCCCAGCATGCCTTGCAGCAGCAGCAGTGTGTACCTGCAGCAGTGAGCTCCAGACACTGGTCTTTGCTCAGTCCCGGTTTGTAGTTGGAGTCCATGAAGCCGTAGATGTAGGTGCTGCCGCTGCCGCCCACCGACACCGGCTGCCTCACCAACATCCCACCAATAGGCACGCAGTACACCTGAGACACAGACGGGTGAGCAGAGAGACAGTCAGTGTGTGAAAATGTCCAGATTTGAGTTCAGCAGAGCTTCACAGGTTGCCACTGGAGTCCTCTTCCACTCCTCCATGACGACATCACGGAGCTGGTGGATGTTGGAGACCTTGGGCTCCTCCGCCTTCTGTTTGAGGACGTCCCACAGATGCTCAATAGGCTTTAGGTCTGGAGACATGCTAGAAGTCTGGCAAGATGTCGTCATGGAGGAGTGGAAGAGGACTGTGCGATGTGTTATTTTCAGGTGTGTTTATTAGGGATCGAAGTTTTTTCCGGACTGATACAGATTATTAGTGACCAATTAGACCGATATGTGGAACCGATATCCTTTTGCTGTAAAAATTTTAATGTTGGTCTCAAAATTTAGAATAACACAAACTCCAACACAAAGTCTGTTAAAAACAACAATATTAAAGTTAATTGTCATGTTTATAAATTAAAATTAAAAATGGCTTAGAGATCCATCCCAGAGATGGACTTAACTATAAGTGATAAATTATCATAATCTTTGTCTTTAAAAGCTGCCATTTATATTGTATTTATTTTATATTGTTAGGATTTTATTGATATATTTATTGATACTATATTCTTTCTGTTCTTTATCCGTCCTTTTATTGGTTTTTCATTACCAATTCATTTCATTACTTAAAAATGTTATTTAAAAAAGATATACAGGTGCTGGTCATATAATTAGAATATCATCAAAAAGTTGATTTATTTCAGTAATTCCATTCAAAAAGTGAAACTTGTATAATGTATACATTCATTCCACACAGACTGATATATTTCAAGTGTTCATTCCTTTTAATTTTGATGATTATACTGACAACTAATGAAAACCCCAAATCAGTATCTCAGAAAATTAGAATATTGTGAAAAGGTTCAATATTGAAGACACCTGGTGCCACACTCCTGCAAAGGCCTTTAAATGGTCTCAGTCTAGTTCTGTAGGCTACACAATCATGGGGAAGACCGCTGACTTGACAGCTGTCCAAAAGACGACCATGACACCTTGCACAAGGAGGGCAAGACACAAAAGGTCGTTGCTAAAGAGGCTGGCTGTTCACAGAGCTCTGTGTCCAAGCACATTAATAGAGAGGCGAAGATAATGAACAACATCTAGCTTCAACAGAAGGTAGAAACGAAGAGTACAAAGTAATGATTAAAATGACTCAGGAGGGAGCCTCATTCGGCGAGTGGAACCCGCTTCATTTAACAAAAGCTATAAACAAGTTGGTTGGCAATGTGAAAAGTGCGCGAGTAATGAGAAATGGAGCACTGATCAGCAAGGGAAGGCTGTTCGGCTTAACAAAATTGAAGGTAAGCGAGTGCAAGGATCATTGATCACCTATAATACAAAGAAGGTTCGAGGAGTCATTTCGGGAATACCCACAAATATGTCAGTAGAACAAGTCAAGGAAAATGTGGAAGGAGCACGTGTAGCCGAGGCAAAACGCTTGAAAACAACACGTAATGGTGAAAGATGTGACAGCTTGTCTGTGTAACGGGTTTGGTCGGGTGTGTGAAGGATGACTCTTGAGATCACTTCTTTTCCACGATTTATTGGCTCGCACATCTGCAGAACACAATGCACACATCAATTGCCCCCTGGCCTCCTCTTACATTACCTCTGCTTCCCTCAGCGGTGCAAGACGCAACTGAGCGCTTCATGTATTCAAAATACATTACAAACACATCACTCCAACATCACATGAGTTACTCTGCTCATAGTGTTCATAGTGTTCATAGAAAGCCATTAACACTGTTCAGAAAATACTAAATATTAAATGCAACAATTACATAAAAACAGCACATAGGTCTCCCCAAAACAACATCGCCTAACAGCGACACCTGGTGGTCTGAATAAAAAGTGTGTGTGGGAGGTGACAGAGACAACAAAAGTTACATTAAAAACAGAAGGAAAACACATACCTGCAGAACACAATGCACACATCAATTTCCCCCTGGCCTCCTCTTACATTACCTCTGCTTCCTAAACATACAAATACAGCGTTTACAAGTGACAAGACGCTGAAAACTCCGACAGGTTACATAGGTAACATGACACGGCCCGCCTGCCTGGTAAAACTGGCGCCAGAAAGTTAAAATGAAAACACTGATAAAACGTATTTTAACGGTCACACTGATACAAAACTGCTACGTGACATAACCATATTGAAATTGCACAATTTGTGTTTAAAGTTTTAACGTAAATGGTTCAATTTCCAAAGAAAACAATAGATAAACCCAGCAGCACTTTTCTACACAACTTAGCCTCAGCGGTGCAAGACGCGACTGAGGGAGACGAGCACTACGTAAGCTTAGGAGGTACAAAAGGGGTAGTGTGCAGCTAAGGAATGACGGAGTTTACATTTCCACAAGAAAAAATAGCAAAAATAAATATAAATAAAATAACTCAATGAGATAAAATTTGGAAATAAGAATTATTAAAGTGCATTTTTAACTCCGTTACATCTGTTATGATTGTTTTTGATGAGGAAAGTCTACCATCTAAGGTATATATAGGTTATATGTGCTACGATGTCAAACGTTATGTTCCCCCACCTCTGAGGTGCTTTAAGTGTCAAAAATATGGACACGTAGCAGCTGTATGTAAGGGCAAACAAAGGTGTGGAAGATGCAGTGGTGAACATGAGTACGGGAAATGCGTAAATGGAGCTAAGCTAAAATGCTGTAACTGTGGAGGAGAACACAACTCGGCCTACAGGGGATGCGAGGCTAGTAAGAGAGCTGTAGAAATACAGAGAATTAAAACATCAGAAGGGATAACATACGCTGAAGCAACCAAGAGAGTAGGTTGGCAACCAGACAGACCAAACAATAAACAAGCTAGTGTAGAATGTAAAAAGTCAAGAACACGTGAGGGATGTGACAAAATCAAGGAAGACACTATGTTGGGGGAAAAATGAGTTTGTTTTGCTTATGGTTGAAGTGGTAAATTGCTCTGTGCAAACAGAGAAGAAAACAGAAAAAGTCTAAATAATAGTTAAAGCAGCAGAAAGTACTTGGGAATCAAGGGGTTAGTGTGGGAGGAGGTTGAGGAACAATTAAGTGGAGGAACAACAAGCTCACAAGCACTGTCATGGGGTGGTGGATCTTCATGATCCTAACCATACTGCAATGGAATGCAAGAAGTCTAATTGCTAATGGACAAGAATTTAAGCATTTTATCTCAAACCTCCAAGATAAACCCAATATTATATGCATACAGGAAACATGGCTAAAACCACAATGGGACTTTGTAATTCAGGGTTACACAGCAATTAGGAATGATAGGGTGAATGGAAAAGGTGGTGGGGTAGTTTGTGCTAAATGGGACAAGGTTTAGTTTGATGACTGTAGGAAAAGAGCATGAAGCAATAGTAGTCAAAAGCTGGACAATAATTAATTATTATAACCCTTGCAATAGATTAAATATAGACACATTGAATACTGTGGGTGGGCAAACAAAGTGGTCTGGTGCGGTGATTTTAATGCACATAGTTCACTGTGGGGAAGTAAAAAGACAGATACTAATGGATTAATCATAGAGGAATCAATTGTGGATAAGGGATTAGTTTGCATGAATGATGGAAGTGGCACCAGATATAACAGTGTTTAAAATACAGAAAGTGCAATTGATTTAACATTAGTATATCAGGGGGTAGCAGGCATTACCACATGGGAGGTGTTAAATACATCATCAGGAGGTAGTGATCACTACCCTATAATAGTTAAGATCGGAGTAGAGATACATCATGAGGAAAACTCAAGAATAAAAAGGTGGAAACTAGATGGAGCGATTGGGACACATTTCAAAAATTATGTAAAAATAAGTGTGAGAGTTTAATCAGAGAAGATTTATCAGATGGGGACCAATGTAATAAAAAGTTGGTGGGAGTCATTATAAAGGCAGCAGAGGAAACGATACAAGAAGTACAGGGAGCAGAGTGAAAAAGAACGGACCATGGTGGGATGTAAATTGTAGCAAAGCTATTAAAAGAAGAAACAAGGCATTTAGGCAGTTAAAAAACATCATTCACTAGAGACATTAATTAATTACAAAAGATCACAGGCCATAGTCCGGAAGACTATAAGAGCAAAAATACGTGCATACTGGAGGGATTACTGCAATAAGACTGGAAGAGAGACATCACTGGCTGATATATGGGGAATGGCTAGAAAAATGAGTGGAATCAGAAGGAGTTATATAATACCAGTCTTAATAAGTGGCAATAAAACAGCAATCAGTAATGTGGAGAAGGTAGAAATGTTGGCAGAAACATTAGTTAAAGTACACAGTTCAGAGAATTTATTAGTCGAAGCCAGAAAGTGCAGAGATAACATTCTTGCCATGAACCCAGGTGTCAATATACAGAAGAGCACAACAACTGATGATTTAGATGTACCATTTAGCTTATTTGAGTTAAGGAGGGCTATCTCAAAGACAAGACTTCATCTCCAGGGAAGGACAACATCTGTTATAGCATGTTAGCTCACTTGGAAGATAGTGCACTTATGTATTTTAAGATTATTTAACCAGATTTGGGAAACAGGCAAAATACCAATAGCATGGAAACAATCAATCATAGTACCAATAGTAAAACCTGGGAAAGATCCATCAGACCCATCAAGTTATAGACCAATAGCACTCACATCAAATTTGGGGAAAACCATGGAACGTATGATAACAGACAGATTAACATTCTTTCTAGAAAGCAGAGATCTGTACTCACCATACCAAAGTGGGTTTTGGAAAGGGAGAAATATAATGGACTCTATTTTATGTTTGGAATCTGAAATCAAAAAAGCTCAGACAAATGGGGAGATTGTGGTAGCTGTCTTTTTTGATATTGAAAAAGCATACGATATGTTATGGAAGGAAGGGTTACTTATCAAATTAAATAAATTAGGTATAGGTGGTAGACTGTACAACTGGGTGTTGGACTTTTTATTTGGCAGGGCAATAGAGGTCAGGGTGGGCACAGAATATTCAACTCTATAAAGTTGAAAATGGTACTCCACAAGGCAGTGTGTGTAGTCCAGTACTATTTAACATCATGATCAATGATATTTTTGAAAAAGTGGAAAGAAGTATTGGGAAGTCCTTGTATGCAGACGATGGCACCCTATGGGTAAGAGGACGGAATTTGAAATTTATTCAGAAAAAATTACAGGCAGCAATTGTGGAGGTGGAACAGTGGGCAAATAACTGGGGTGTTAAGGTGTCGGGTGCAAAGACACAAGTGATATGTTTTCCAGGAGACATAAAGAAGTGTCCTTAAAATTATATGATCAAACCCTTGAAGAAGTAAAAGTTATCAGACTGTTAGGAGTGTTGTTTGATGAAAAGTTGACCTGGAAACAGCACACTGATAAGGTCAAAGACAAATGCAAAAAAATCAATAACCTTTTAAGATGTCTGTCAGGAAGGGACTGGGGGCCACTACAACATCATTGCTTAAAATATACCAGACCTTGATGAGATCTACACTAGATTATGGATGTATAGCAAATATGTCAGCAGCAGAATGCCATCTTAAAAAACTAGATGTGGAACAGGCACAAGTGTAAAGGACATGCAGTGGAGCATTTAAGACCTCTCCAGTGGCTGCCATGCAAGTGGAAATGGGGGAACAGCCACTAAGAATAAGAAGAACAAGAATTATGCTAACATACTGGGCTAATCTTCAGGGACACTGTAGCTCTCACCCCGCGCTAAAGCCGACCTAGAAGAATGTTGGGAACACAATAAGAGCAGCTGTTTCAGTTTTCGATGGGTGAAAGCAGAAAGCCTTTGCTTGTACAGTATAAAATATATCCCAATAGTCCCATATCCAGATCTTTCTCCGTGGTTTTTTGTAAATCCATCCATTGACCTGCATATACAGCAAATAATCAAAAAGAAATCCAAGCAAGCACACACGGGAAGAAGAGCAGAAAGTTACATAGAGCAGCACTATAGAGATAACCGCATGGTCTTTACTGATGGCTCTAAAGATCCACAGACCGGACGGACAGGAGCTGCCATATACATCCCAGCATACAAAATAGGCATTAAAAAGAGAATCATCTATCAGTATATACAGTTGAGCTTATGGCCATTTTGATGGCATTACAGTGGCTAGAAGAAAATAAGGAAAGCAAGGTGGTCATTGCATCCGATAGCTGGGCAGCGCTCACCAGTATTAAATCTGTTAAGTCCTGTAGGCTGGATCTGGTATTTAGTATTCATAGCTCTCTATGTAGATTATATCATAAGGACTGGACTGTCTGCTTTGTTTGGGTTCCTGCCCATGTAGGGGTAGAAGGAAATGAAGACGCTGATATTCTGGCAAAACAAGCACTTAAATCAAAGTCAGTTGATATACAAGTTCTGCTAAGTAAATCTGAAGCTAAAACAGTCATTAAAGAGAAAATGCAAAAAATATGGCAAGAATACTGGGAACTAAATGAAACTGGAAGACATCTTTACAGTATACAGAATCATGTTGGTCTGGGAAGAAAACTGGGTGGTTGCCGGAAGACAGAGACCGTCATTAGAATAGGACACACAGGGTTTAACCATTCACTTTATAAAATAGGTAAACACCCAACTGGGCACTGTGTAAAATGTAGTAGTGTAGAGAGCATTCAACATGTGCTGGTTGAGTGTAGAGGCGAGGAGGAAAATAGCAGCAGTTATAGAGAAAGCTGAGCTTAGGTTCACTGTCGAGAACCTCCTTGGGGATAAAGCATGGGGAATATCAAAGCATATTTGTTTATTTGGTTTTTATGTTAGTCTGCACATAATCTGTTCCACACTCCAGTCCGGTAGGTGGCTGTAATGCTCCTAAATGCTGGCTGCCAACCTGCCACAAAACAAGAAGAAGAAGCAGAAGCAGAGCGCTGATCGGGGAGAGACGAGGGAGGAAAGTGTTTTTGCTTTGCAGACCAACTAAAGTCAGAAGTCTTTAATTACTGTCGGCAGGGCTCTCAAGTCTCGCGCATTTCAGCCAGTTCACGCGCTCACACCTTGTATTTCTCACGCTGAGAAGTAAGTCAAGAGATAACGTCCTCCAAGTTGTTCATTAATGGACGATCATTTCTGTGCCGAGTTCACAGCCTCATCTCTGTAGCTGCTAAATGCCAGAGCCGTTCAGCCCATCACAAATTAAAATGTGTCGTTTCCGGTAAACTCCGTCGTCCCGCCGCAGGCGCGTTCGTTACCAGGCAACATGGATGCGCGTGCACACACGCAGTGGAAGTCGGAAGCGCGAGACCCGATGGATGCGGTAACTGTAGGTTTTTGTTGTTTCCTGGAAAAATGACTCAGAGATAGTGAGAGCAGCTGATGTTGGGGAGGACAGACAAATGTGTTGTAAATTATTACTGATGCAGTCAGAAACTCTCCAACCTCTTTGCAACCTGCAGCTTTGGCTTTTTTATCCAGCGCCCAGCAAAGGAACTTTAAAAAATAAAAGGACCAATATTTCAGTGTAAAAATGCTCAGCAGGTGATCAGAAATGACATCATAACAGGAAACCAGAATAATCCAGGAGATCATTTCCATGGATGGAAAGAATGAGATCAATAAGTTATTGATTTCCAGTATTGATCAAGAAGAAAGCTGAAAGAAACCAAATGTGTTGATCACTCAGAACAAAGAAATGCAGCTTTAATAGTTTGGATCAATGAAAGATTGATGCTCAGTTCTCTTCACATCATGTTGAAGCCGTTTGGAAAGAAAAGTGGGCTCAGAGTCGGCAGAAGAAAAGGCCAAATATTGATGAAGCAGGAAGAGCAGTTTGGGATCAGATCCAGATCAGATGTTTGTGTGTCTCGGTGTTCTGGACTGATGTTGAACATGTGGAGCTGAGATTCATTTACAGAACAGAGATGAAAACATTTGAAAGCTTCTTCTCTTCAAAGTTCAGCTTTAGATCCAGAAATGTAAAAGTCCAGCAGCTCAACACTGACAGGAGACATTACTGTGAAGCAGCACATGGACAAAACAATCCCAGCAGCATCAAGACTCTGATCATCTCCAACAGCTTCCTGTGTTTCTGTCCCCTGTTAGCTGCTGCTCTCATCTGCTTCTGTCAATAAAGTTATTCAAACTGCTGCTGCTGTCTGTGCAGCTCATGTTCTGCTTTGTTGTCCTCTCAGTCTGTCAGGTGGAGGTGGAGGAGGGGGCGGAGTCTGTCCTGCTGCCCTTCAAGACCACAGACAACCTGCCTCAGGACGCTAAGTGAGTGGAACGCTATGATCCCTATAAGATGGTCCACATGTATCAATATGGCTCTGACCAGCCTGACCGACAGGACCAGGTTTACAGAGACCGAACAGAGATGAAGGAAGACCTGCTGAGAACTGGAGACCTCAGTCTGACCCTGAAATCCCCCACAGACAGAGACGGAGGACGATACAGTTGCATCGTCCCAGCAGAACATCTATAGAGTGAAATCAGTTGTTCTCAGGGTCAAAGGTCAGTATGCAGACTGAGGTCAGAGTCTCTGTGTTTGTCTCTGTCTGACTGTCCTCTGTCTCCTCTGCAGAGAGAAGCAGGAACAGAAGCAGCTCCGCTGATCCAACTCCTCTGATGCCGATCAATCTGTTTGATCTTTGATCATTGATCCGATCTGACTCTGGATCAGAGAGAAAATGGAGGTGAAGCAGCTGATGGAGGACGGATGAAGACAGGAGGACGCTTTGTCAGCTTCTTCTTCACTCTGACTCCTCCTACTGACTCTCACACACAGTCTACACACTCACTATTGATTCCTGCTGATCAGTGATGTCAGAGTGAGGTCAGCGTGATGTCACATGGCTTGAACGGGCGTGTTTCCTGTGAACCTCCCAGCGGCTGGATAACAGCTGCGGCTCTCTGGATATTTGTGGCTCGTTCTAATGCGTGCAGTCAAACAAACTTTATTTCTACAGACACAGAGAAGTCAGCAGCTGCAGGAAATCAGAACCACTGACAGGAAGTTAAGAGTCAAGTTAAACCACATGTCAGAACTTTCTACAGCAGCAGGATTTAGAAGATGCTGGAAGCTGCTGTCTTTAGATTTTGGACCCGTCACAATTTGTCACATTTTCTGAAGCCACAACAAATCTTGTTGAAAGGAAACAGTTGATTGAAGGTCCAGTTTCAAACGAAGAGTCAAAGCTTCTCTTTGTGTCGACTCCTTTAATGAGAACATTGAAAAGGACTCGAGTCCAAGTCTCAAGTGTCCAGCTCAGATTATTCCAGCACCAACCCTGGCAGGATGCAAGTTAAACAGAAAGCAACACATTTAGTGACAGAACAGAAAGCAGCCAGCTGTTAAAATGGACTCAGAGAATGAAGACACAATAAGATTTGATTCAGTCAGACTTTCACAAGAACAAAGGTTTGTTCAGCCTGAACACAAATGTGGTCTGTAGTGTTTTTGTAGTCCCTGTTTTTCAGCGCCTCTTCCTCCTCACTACACACTGGATCAAAGCACAGCAGTTAAACCCAGAGGCCTCCAGTGGACCTGGTTCAGGCCTCTGAAACATCTGGACTCTGTGATCTTTGTCTTCCAGCGTTGACATTTGGAGCAGGTATAAACAGACGTCACGTGATCTAGTTTGTTTGAAGCGTACCGAGTCCTTCAGACGTTGATCTCAGAACTCAGCAGAAACTCCACTTCTTTAGTCTCTTTCCTCCAGGTTCTGGTTTTTCTCGTCTCTCTGTTCATTCCTCAAAGATAAAGCTGGATTTTTCATTGAAGCTGAAACATTTCAGTAAATATGCCAGATTTAGCCAGAAGGCTGTTTTTCATCTGTAGTCAGTACAAGTCAACACAAAACAGACAACATAGTAAAACCAACCCAGGGACCAGTAGACTCCAGCACATATACTAGCAGTCATTATGTTCCAGTACACAGGTCATGAACTGTTACCAGAGGAAATCAGAAGCTTACAGTAATCTGTTGGACTCAAAGATGTTATGTTATTAAAGTGCTGTTTATGCACTCAGATCTAATTCAATAATCTGGTTTCCTGCAGCGGTTTGAAGCCAAAATAAACATTTTGCTGTGATTTCATTTCAATAAACTGATCAAAATGATGCTGATTTGTTGAACATATGAATTCCTGCTCTGTCAGGTCTGTCTTCAAGATGACAAGCAAACATCTTTTAAAACGCTTGTTTTCTAAATGGAGTTCTGCTCAGTCAGGGCGATGCTATGCTAACTTGTTTCAAGTACGACGACGGCTGGAATCATCTATCAGACACAGATTCATTTTCAGACCTCACCAGGTAGTTCAGCTTCCCGCCTCTCTTTTCTCCCAGCATCCTCCTGTCTCGTCTGTAGAAATATGAACTAGTGGTCCACGCGGTCCTTGTGGTCCGGACCGGTTGCCGAGGGGTCCGTTGCTGGTCCAAAGCCACTGCACACCTCCTCTGTATAATAAAAGCTTTATTTGTAGAGCACTTTTCAACACGGGGAACAAAGAGCTTTAAAACAATCCATCTGTCAATAAAGGAAAATAAATGAGGCGTCACACAGTGAAAGCTTTTTGTAGAAATGTGTCTAAGAAGTGAGATGAAACCAGGAGCAGACTCTGAGCCTGTAGGGGCCCTGACAGCAGAGACCCTGTCCCCTTTGGCTTTGAGCCTAGACTTTGGAGCAGTTAGCAGAGCCCTACTAGAGGATCTCAGTCTGCGTCCTGGCTCATATGGGGATAAAAGCTCAGAGAAGGTGCGTGCCCATGTCTGGCCTTAAAAGTGATCAGAAGGATTTTAAAGTGCGTCCTAAAAGAAACAGGAAGCAGGACGCTCACACTGGGCTGATGTGCTCACATTTCTGCAGCGAGCGGCAGCATTTTGGACCAACTGTAGGTGATGAACTGATTTCTGACTCAGACAGGTATATAGGGAGGATATCGGTCTGCGGCTGAAATGAAAGACTTCACCTCGGCCGCATTTCTCAAATGATAAAAACAGAACAAGCTTACATGAGGTTCAAAACACAAGTCCTAGTTTCTGGCCGAGCTTCTTGTTCGCTTGGGTTTGTCCTGATTTCAGAAAGGAACGAACATCACAGAGGAAGACGCAGAGATGTTGATCCTCACAGGTACGTGAATCTAAACTATAACGTGGTTCATGCTGAACTTGAGCGCTCACTCTTTCTACACATCCTGGCAGAGAACGCTGGTGAGCTCCCAGCATCCTCTCCTGTACCTGCTGAATCTTATCTGTCTTCACATCCTGAGCAAGGTTCAAACGTTTTAACTTAAACCAAGAGACAGCTGTTTGTGGGTCACGTTGAACGTCACGTCGCGGCAGTTGTGTTGCTATGACGACCAGCTACATTGAGGGGATCTGCAATGAAAAACAGAGCAGAAAGGAAAAACTGCAAATATGGACTGCAGGCAGGAATTTAATCCTGCCTTTCAGAATTAATAATATAACAGCTTTGTTTGGAGGACTTGAAATAGTCTTTTTACTGTAATATTTTGGCTTTAAACTAAATAATAATAATAATACTTTGCACCTGAGAAAACAACACAGGTAGTTCTCTCCATTTTCTGCAGCTTCCTTAAGATGCCATCATGCTGCTGAAGGTGAAACACCAGACTGCCAACAAGTTCATCAGACTACAGTCAGGTTTCACCTGTTTGGAGTTCGTCAATGAAGGCAGGCAGCTAACTTGTATACTAAATGAAAGTACAAGCTTTAAGGCTTTTTTAAAAACTGTCCTCATGAGAGTTCAAGTTGGAATCAGATTTAGTGAAAATCGGGCACCGTGCTTCTCGCCACAGGCCTTTTTCTTCTTACACTGAAAATATAGCCACTTAAAAATGAATGTATGCACTGTAATCCTGAACAGTACTGCTAAGTCATAAGCATTATGGGTGAAGCACTCAAAAACAGCTAATAAGTTCTCTGAACGGGTAATGCTGTTTTAATTATATGTGCATCATTGTTTTTGAGTGAACGTTGTTATCTTACTGATGACTTATGAGTGTACAGAGGGACGCAGCGTCTGACGTCATTAAATTCAAGATGGTGAGCGAGAGGAATCTGAAAGTAACGGAGCAAAACTTTTCATTAATAATGTAATTTACAAAGTTTGATATAACCCAGGTTCCTGCACAGAGCTGTGAAAGTGTTTTTTTGTTCTGTGACTTTATTTTATAACCGCGCGCTTTAATGACCGGAGGAAGAATCATATGTGCAGTTTGCCGCGTTATAATATGTGACTTGTAACACGAAGACAACTGGTTGGCGACACGTTTACAACGTGCAAACAACATGTGGTTGACGTGTTGTCTACGTGTTAATTTTTCACATGTTGTCAACGCGTTGATTTCACCTGATTCTGAGCCATTTGACCACTTGTCCAGTTTGAACTGGTGAGTGTTTTACTTTCCCATTGGCTGCTGAGTAGTAGGGTTAAACCTTTTCCGCTATTAAACATGCTAAGGATCCTCTAATTTCTCTTCCTTTTCTTCCTTTAGCATGCAGCCTATGAAAATGTAATATTTGGATTGCTGTTTAAGACTTAAAATAAATTAGTATTATTATAATAATAATATTATTAAAGTTATACATTGTTTTCATCATGTTGCTCATTTACTGCCTATTTTGATAAACACATCAGAGGGAATTAATGCTTTTTACACCATTCATCAACTTTAGATTTATATCTTAAAAAAACATGAACAGTTGTGCGGGGGAAAATAACAGCAGTGGTACTCATTTGATGTTGGTGTAGGAAACAGACCATTGTAAAAAATACTGTATGTCTAAAACAACGTGAACTTTTTCAGCATTTTAATGTAATTTAGGGCTTTGACCAGCAGGGGGCACATTGTGACTAATTATGGGGCTTGTTAAAACCTAAACGGACCTTGTTTAGATATTAGGCACACATATGTACACAGGTGATATTACCCTTTTTGATGAAATGTATAGCTTCCAAAGATGTCGGGATTAGAATGAAAGTTTGTAATTAGGTCAGTAACTGATTTGACTTTCCTGACAGCAGATGTACACTACTGTGCCAAACTCCTAGGTCGTCCTCATCTTATTAAAGCCTAAAACCTGAGAAGTGTTTAGCCAGTTACAGCCTATTATACATAATAAGTTAGATATAATAATGTGGTTCAACAGTTTTAATTGTGCGCAATATTGTGCAAATGGTCTGATGGCTCTTGTTAAATATCAGCAGACTCCTCATTGTTGGCAATAAAATCACGAGTGTGGCTATCCATAGCTGCTTTCAAACTGCATTAAACTCGCTGTATGAAAGGTACGAAGCGTGAAAGGGGGGTCTGATTTGATCCACCTCTGCGCCAGGAACATGGGTAGTAACAGAGACGGAACGATGTCTGTGTGAAAAGCCACAGCCGGCATGCTGGTGTTGTGTCTGTTGGTCTTTTTCTGTCACAGCGCTGGTTCCGCAAAAATCGCATCACTATGTGAAAGCATGGTTGCGGGATTATGCTGCACGCTTTTGAATGAGCAAAATCGGCATATTGGAGATACTGGGGAAATGAAAAATCATCATTTGTACCTTAATGGATGCAGATCAAACACTGGAACACACACACACAGCAGCACATGCTATGTTGTGAGCATGTGAAACAGCCACTTTATGACCAATTTGTGGAAGTGGGGGGAAAATTCTCCCAATGTGATCAAACAACCTTCTAGGTGGGAGTCCTGCACTTTAGCAATTGAGCTAACTGAGCACCTGTCAGGATCGCTGGGAGCGCAGAGCAGGTGAGAGCCCAAATGCATGACACAGCGCTGAGATATAGTTCAAGGGTATTTAATCCAGGGCAAGACAACACAGGCATGAACCAAACTCACGAGTACAAGGAAACCGGTACATCCAAAAACCCAGAACAGGTAATGCATCAACTCGCAGAACAAACGACAACCGACTGAGCAGACATGCGACCGTGAACAGAAACACCAGACATTTATACACAGGGACTAACAAGCAGGGCGGGAGCAACACAGGTGACTGGGATCAGGGTTAACGAGGCAGAGAGACAGAAGGGGAAACAGAGAGGCTGGATGGCAGGCAGATTACTGGAGGTGAGCAGACATTACACAAGTACTGAACACTGAACATATCAAGGTAAGAAGTAACAGATCAGAATAATAAAAATAACAAACTAACCCAGACACCATCAGAGATATCACCACTAAACTAACACCAACAAGGAACACAGACTGAAGATAAAACAGAACTCAGATCAGTCGTGGGCAAAGCACTACAGAAGTACACAGACCAGGAACCTGTTTCAGAAAGCAGGTTCAACAAACTCTGAGTGTAAACCTGAACTCTGGGTTGAAGAACAAGTTCAGTCAACTCTCGTATGTTGAGCCTGATTGAAGCGCGTGCGTGGGGATGAAAAAAACCTCCGATACTACGATTCACCATGGCAACGGGTAAATAAAGGCAGGGCCTCCATTTTAATCGGGTGGAGCTAGAAATATGAATGCTGCCAACGCGGACCCTGATTGGCTGTAAAACACAGGAGTGGAGGATCGATACGTTAACAACGTTACATTTTATACAGCGTTGCTCATTCATCATTTACCAGACTGGAATTTCCTTAATGATGATAAAGAGCTGGAATTCTCCTCCAGCCTGTTTTAAAAAGCTACAGGCCTGTTTATCCAGCTGTAACCTGACGGGACTAAATGCCGGTGGCAATAACTGAAGATGAAAATATTAATGGAACAGATTAGACACAGTTTAGGCTCCTCATGGACCTGTGATAGTAAAGCCACAGTCCGACTCAGTGGGTCTATTAATGATTTTTTTGTAATGTAAAATGTTTCTAGGTTCAAACTGACTGTGAAGTTTAAGACGTCTATGTTACATTAATAAAATCTTGCTCATTTCGTATTTTATGAAATGCTGTTAAAACACATTCAGACTATCAGCAGATAATGAAAAACTCACTTTTAAACTACATTTATTTGTTTCAGCTGCACCACAGTCATCCTCACTCAGAAATATTCACATCATATCCAGCTGATAACTACTATAGGAATGTTCAATCAGTGCGACTACAATGTGAAAGGTCACTGTTCACTGATCAGTTCTGTACAGATTACTTTAAACTGCAGCACTGTAGCCTTAATGTCCACACAGTCACTGAGTTATAAAGGACGGTGTAGCTTATAGATTTTATTCTGTGCTGAGGATAAATTTCCGATGTCCAACTCTCTGTCCATACATCGATGACAGATGTTCAAGATCATGTTTGGGTAAAAAAGAAAACGAATGGCCTATTTAGCCGTGATTTCGATGTTTCTAAAGACATAATTGTGTTCCAATATGTGCTTTGATATCGACAGAATAATTGAGGAAATGAAACGTGTGTCAGACGGCAGCTTCAGGCTCCGCAGGAGGAGTCAGAGAGAAACTCAGCGTTAGTTGAAGTAAACCTCCTCCAGAGCAGGTTAGGTTCACAGCTCAACTTACTCAGAGTTTTCACTAAACCCGCTTTCTGAAACGGGGCCCAGGAGTAGACCTGAACTAAGATACAGGACTAAGAAGTAAAACTAAGACACCAAGAAGACAGACATGAGTGAAACCCAAAACACAACAGACTATAAGACAGATACTGAACTGATCAAATCATCAAAAACCCACAGAGCGCTAAACTAAACATAGCCGACAGGCAGAATGTGACAGCACCACAGGATCTGATTAAAATATTCTGCCTTATGTTCTGACTCACCCTCTAATGAATACAAACAATTGCTCCAATGCTAAACTTATATGCCAGTGCTGTAAATCATTACTTCTGCTTCTTCTTTGAATGTACAACGTAGTGATGAGCGTCTACACTGCCAAAATTACAAGAAGAAGAAGAACGTAGTGACGAAACTCTAGCTGTATGTTTTATAAAAGAAAGACAAAGCCTTGTTATGAGCTTTGAGATGACATGTAAGCCACTTTGCGTCCGCTGTCTAGTAATTGACACAGGTGTGTCCAAATGGTTGAGACACCAGCCAGATATTGTTTTTCACTTTAGTCTTTTGTTTGGTTTAAACTAAAGTCGCTTTTTATTGAATGTGTTAAAATCCGGTGAATCAAGTCTTATGTTTTCCATCTTGAAGCGTCTCCAAGCCTGAAAGCTTTGACAGCCATCAAGTCCATACACTATATCAGTCATAAATAACTATATAAATACAAAATAAAAGTTTAAATTGCACTTTAATAAATCCATCCATGTCTTTTCACTCTGTTTTATTTTTTAGTAATTCTGTTTTATAAACAGACAGAAATAAAGCAGGATGACCACTGCTCCACCCGGCTTAATTTTTGCTAAGGTGCTGGAAGCATCAATGAGTCCAAACTGATAAAAGAGAGATCAACACACTTAAATCTATGCAGTTTATTAAGGTTTCGGTCTAACAGACCTTCATCAGAGCATAACTCAACATTGGATAGGCAGGCAAAAATAACCAATCACATTCCAGTCACTGGCAGTACCAACACATCTGTGCACGCCCATTTACTGTGAGTCTATGTGCAAGCCCTGATGACAGAGGCTCCACTTCCTGGGAATTGAGGTTTTGAGTACTGAATGGCGTACTGTCATGCATGCCAATAGAAGCCTTACTTGTCCCTTAATAACACAATACAATGTAATGACAAAGGAAATGGGAATTTGAGAGGGATCAGGCTTGAGCCATCATAAATCAGAAGTCCCCCAGATCTATAAGAAAAGGACTAATGGTTATCAGGTGAGGGGCGCCACAAACCATAGACCATAAACTGTACATGAGAGATGAAGAAAAGAAACATCTTGGATTACAGCACAACACATCAAAATCCACATTGAGGATTTTCCCTGTTGTTTGGCACAATTGCCAGATGGATTATTCCCATCTTTTCCAGGAGCTAAAATATTCTGTTTAAAACCTGCCTTAATATTATCTCTGTGCCAGCGTGTTGCATAAGTTAGCAGCTCTTCTATAGACAAAGAGGGGAGGATCATTAAAATGCTGGGTATGCTAATGCCGGATCAGAGGCCAGTGTTTAAGAATAGCGTTCTGACAGAGTAACTTTTACCCTATTTTGTTTTGTAAAAGATCGTTCCAGTATTGAAATGCACTTTGGTAAGCCTCATCAATACACTGTAAAGAGTAGGCTCTGTCCCGAAAGCTCTTTTTTCATTGCAGCAGCTTATCAATTAGTTCCTCAGTAGAATGACATTTGAGCGTAAATGACTCTTGGGTAAACCGTATTGCAGAGCTCGATAAGCACTGCTGGCTAGGCAGAATGTAGTCTTATCTGTTTATTTTGAGATACGGCTGCCACTGCATAATTCCATCAATCCAATAAAGACAAATGTTTATGATCATATTCAACAGAGAACTTAAGGTCAGGGGGTTCCTGTTAGTCTTAAAAACATAATGTGTGTGAAAACAAAAACATATAAATGAGCATATTCCTGTGCAAAAAGTAGAACTCATCAATGCTCCTTTACATTGTAGGAAGAAATCTCCAATGAAGGAGAAGTAGTTCAGTTTAAGGACCAAATTAGCTCACAAATAAATGGACAGGGTGGTAGTGCTTCCTCTGTGCAGATAATACTCAAGACCTCTTACAAGGAAAATCTTTGTGTAGAGGCTTTCCACATCTAAGGTGGCCAGAATAACATCATTGGGTAACTTTTTTAATGTTGATATCTATCTTTAATATATGATGGAAGCGTCTGAACAGATGGTTTAAGAAAGTGATGAAAACAGTTCATTAATAGATAATGGCTCTAGTAGAGCATCACTGATGGCTACAATAGGTTGGCCTTTGGGTTTAACCCCCCAAGTGGAGCAACTGTTGCAGGCAGCATGATAGAACTGTAAAGCTGTGACTCCCTCTCATACACTCACTCATTGCCTAGATCAGAGCTCATTAGATGCTCACATTTGGCTGCTTCAACTCAGTTTTGATTATACTGAATTCTCAGTAAGTTATTAGAATTACACAATTTGTGATTATGTCTTACATTTAACTCACTGCGCATCAGAACACTTACAATAAATTAGGTAGCCTGTATTCCAATTATTTTTAACTACCTAAAACAAGTGCATATAACCTTAAACATGTGGAGCTTCTGGTGCTGATTTCTAGCGTTGTAATACCAGTGCAAGTCAGTTACAGGTTGCTTAATTGCTTGTTAAGCTGCAGCCAATCACAACACTGCCTCCCCTCCCCCACTTTTGCAGCCTCTTTGATCTATGCTTGAGATTAGGTGAGTGCCATGAGTAACAGATTTAATAATATAATCATAAATAAACATAAATCATGTTTGAGTAGCGTTAATGAAATATTCTGTGATGTCGCCTCAGTGACTTTAATTGGGGAGACTTGAAGTGTTGTTGTAGTGTTTGCCAACATTAGCCAACTATGTAGCAAGCTAACTCAGCAAAAATGCTGCAAATGACACCTTTTGATAGAAACATTTCTGCTGTTAAAGGTTTTAATAAATGCAGGACTGCACTCACGCCGAATGTTTCAGCAGCTCAGTTTAAAATATTTATTGACGGCAGTGAAATCTTTGTCAAGTGACAGCAAGGTCTCTGTATAAGACGTGACACCTTGCTGACATCAGCACGTGAGTTTAAAAACTGTGCTGTTCAAGCTTTCCCCCCTGGCCGGGCCCCCGACTATGAATAGACACCGACTGTAGCTACATGGTGGTGATTCTGTCGTTTGTCAGCCCTCAGTTGTAGATCCATTTGGTAAAATTTGTGGGGCAAAGAGCTGAATTTTTCCATATAAATCAGATTTATCTGAGATGCTTTTGCGTTCAGCCAAAACTGTTTCCTTTCAGTTTGGTTGTGGCACACCGTGATGAAGGATTAATAGCGCTTTATTAGGCTGGGACTCTGCCTTTCTGCAGACGAGCGCCGTCTTAAGTTTAACATAGTACATCTTATGATTAAAGCAGGGGAGGATGTCCTAAATGGCCACCTGCATGTATTATATTTAATAGGCCTATCTTAATATTAATTGCCATTAATTTACCTCTTGCCATTAGTTATGGATATGTTATGGGTTTTTTCCCGGCGACATTGACTATCTGGGCTTCTGGCTTTGCATTTCCGAGTCTCTCATTTTCTGTCACCTTTTCAGGCTGAGGATGTTCAGACAAAATACTCCCATCAGAGGACCGAGGAGAACGGAGCAAACAAGACTTGCAACTTTCAGAGTCGGTCTCCTCCTCCATCCTGATATGGAAACATTCCACCCACAAAAAGGTATGTTTAATTACATATGCACTGTAGTGTTTCCCACAGACAAACAACTTGGGCAGTGGGGAGGCATTTTCTATTTGACATTTTAATCACTTATTTTACAGCTTACACTATAATTGAATCTGCGCCCTTTCCCTTCAGTTCCCTTTTCCTCACGCTTGCGCACACACCTGCTGCAAACACAGCGGCGTGCCCCGCCTCTCTCCGCCTCTCTCCGCCTCTCTCTCCCTGGATGCGTCTGCTCCGGTAACTTTTTCCACGTTTTATAAAGTCGCTAAAAAGACGGAGCTCGTCTGCTGGAATTTTCCACCCACAATTTCCTTCATAGCATCAGACGTAAAATCCAAAATGGGTCTGCCTGTAATTTACACTACTGAGTAAGGGAAACACTGCATTGTATGTTCTGAAGAGACTGCTTCACAAATACCTTGTAGTGATTTTTCTTTATGCAATTTTCATTGTAGCGGAAGCTTAGAAGAAAAGTTAAGGTGCCAGTGTCCTTGTCTGCTGAGGAGTTCAACGCTGTCCTCAGAAATGCGTTTCCAAGAGTGGGCGACACTGATTTTGAGTTGGCAAGAGTAGATTGTCATAAAGAAACCACAAGACTTCAAGTTTGTCCACTATCACCATCTGTGCTGAAAGCCAGCAGAGAGCTGAATCGATCAGCTTTATATATATACTCCCAAAGGTACTGTACACTGATCATACCCTGAGCTGAATGTCGTCTTAATCATCTGAATCTGTAATGGCTCATTCCTATTGATGCGCTGGAACACCGATGCATATAACTGAACCATGTTATAGCAACTTTCACTCTACTTTTTAAAAGGAGAGTCTGGAAGAGCAGGTTGGAGAACAGCAAGATGGTTTTTGTTTGTTTGGTTTTTACCACCATCAAATCTGTAACGCAGGCATAATTTTAGCAGTATATTGTGGGCGTAAACTAGAACCCGACAAATGTATCGGCCAGCCGATCTGATCCAATTACATTTAAATTGCCGTTTATAACATCCAATATGACTATTAAAAAAAGAAGACTGAGTTAGATCACTCATGTCATGAGTGTCATAGATTGCCCACCAGGTGGCGCTTTGCAGCTCCCCTGTTAACACTGCGTCACCACAAAAACCACAAAAGAAAACATCAGCTTCATTTATAGTGAAATGAAATCTCAAAGTTGCAAGTCCTGGTTGTAGACAGTCATGTAGTATTGGAGACATTCAAGAGCAGGTCACTGTATCGTAGACGGTGTGTTTTAGAGCCATATGGTTGAGAAATGGTTTCTTGTAGCTTTGGATAGAATTAAGAGTGCTGGTAAGGGGATAAAACTAGATGTGAATATGCTGCATTGAAAATGGTCAATATGTGTAAGGTAAAATACACATGCTGCTTCTGTTTACAGATGGCTGAAAAAGTTCCACCTTCTAGCAGCAAATATTTATTGATGAGCAGTTGTTTAAATGTTCAGTTGTTGAGACCGTAATCTATTTTATTAACATAATCCAATTAGGAAAAGGTTTTAGAAAACGGCCTGTTCTAAGTGTAGTTTATACCAGAAAGCGGTCTATTATCCAAATCCTTTTCAAAATCTAAATATCAGTTCTTTTTCACTTTAAAATCTGCATTGGCCCCCAAAAACCCATATCAGTCGGGCTCTAGTGTAAACATCCAGATCAAATAAACAATACGTGTTGTTTTTGTCTCTTTAGGATGCAGAAGAGGTCTCGAACTCTGGCCAAAACCTGGACCAAGATGATATGGGCACCCATTTTAAGCTCTTTCTAGGCTTGTTGTATATTTCATAATGGCATATTGCATCTTTGGCCAACAAATGGGGCGTTCTGGTATTTTGAAGGATGTACAGGAGGTCCATACTTCACAAAACTGCCTGGAGAGACCTAATACAATGGCGAGGGATGTAAGTACAGTTATCAGCACTATCATTATCCAATTAACATTTTTTATCAAAATTATTACCCAACCAAAAGTAATTTCCTTTTGAAATGTTAAGACAAGCGATTGTTGCCATTGTAATGTAACAGTAAGCATGTTTTACAGCTCGAACGTGAATCTCATGACACAGAGAGAGTGGAAGTAGCAGATGATGATGCTGATGTAAGCTTTTGTCTTTACTAGGGACTGAATATAAAACTACTAATATAATGTTTTTACATTTTTAATGTTTCCTCTAGGATTTACATGAGTGGCGTGCACTTCACAAGACAAGATGAGGAATACATACAAAGTCTGCAAACTGAGCAGGAAAGGGTAAGCACACAGCAGTGTTTTATAAAATGTCCCCTCTTCGCCCAGGTAAAGTATGTTAAACACTTACGTTAGTGCAAGCTGTAGGCCTATATTTTGTAATGTTGTATTTAATGGTAATGTCTTTACTCAGGTGTTTGTGTTTTGTCAGGACACTCTGGTTCCTGAAGAGACCACTCCTCAAAACATCTCATCTGGGTCCTCTGATACCACTGCTGGCTTCCTGGATTTGAGTCATGTCAAAGAAACTACCGAGTAAGTGCTAGTTTCATACTTCCATTAATGGATTAAATGAGTCGCGGCCATCAGGCCAATAAAGTGCTACATACACATTTTGAATGTTGCAAGTCCCACCTGAAAAAGGTTTCTGGTGGTTGTTGTTCTAGACCAGATCTGAAAACCTTACTGACAACTCTGGCATCAAAAGTCTGGATTGGAGAGACGCCCAGCAGTAATATGATCAATGTATGCAGAGAAAACATAATGGATGGTGCCATGCGAGCCTTTACAAGAAGGAGTTTCAATCCAGAGGCCAAATTAAGCGTCATATTTATGGATGACTTCATGCAAGCAGAAGGTTCAGTGGATGAGGGGGGCCCTACACGGGGGTTTTTCCGACTGCTCTCAGAGATAGCAGCCTATTTACAGGGCCACAGTAAGAACCTGTCCCTGGACAGCCACGGTTAGTACCCACACATGCCATTAATCTAAGTCATATTCTAACAAATTGATTGTATTCCTGGCGGATTAAGATTTTAGATTTGAGTTATAAACACCTTATTCTGCAGAGATTTGCCACCTGTTAACCACTGCAAAATGTATTGTTCTACATTTCCATTATGCAGCATTACACAGAGGTCTCTACAGAACCTATGGAGTTATGATGGCTGTGGCGCTGCTGCATGGAGGAGTGTTGCCTTCTCTTTCCGGAGAGGCTCTACCAAAACCTCTGCTCTACACCCACATTACCACCCGCTCTCAAAGAGGTAGCAGATCCAGATTTGCAGTGGAAACTCAGAAAGGTATGTGAATTTTGTCTGTCCTTGCTATTTTATTTTATTTTCTCTAAACAGTGAAAGTATCTTGAAGGCCTGCTTCTACTAATGAATTGGACGTCATAAAGATCAGTGAGGCCGGTGATATAACAGAGGCTAGAGCTGCCATTGAGGAAGCTGCAGAGAGCCTGTCCTTGTTGGGGTCCCTGAGGCGTCTCACCACCGTGGAGGGACGGGACCGGCTGGTTCAGGCTGCCACAAGTTTCTACGTGGAAGGACAAAAGAAGCCTCCCAACAGTGAGTATTGTGTATAGTCCCACACTTTATCTGTAATGCTGGCTACAAATTGTAAATTGCATTTTAACTCCTTAATTTTGTTGATGGCAGAGCTACAGTGCTTGGACCAGATTTGACTTATGTTTTGAGGAAAATGCTTGGGTGAGCTCACATCAATATTTATTGCTGGAAAAACAAACCTGCATGGTGCCACATACTGTTTAATAGAGCACTTGCTTCTGTTTGATTGGGCCCACTGCTTGACGGTCACAATTTTGTTGTGCGACACTCCTGATTGACTTAACCTATGGAAATTGCTTGGTTCTCATCACTGGGGTGTGTTGGGCAGATGTGCTTTTTTAAATGTATTTTCCTTAACATGCTGTCGTATAAATCGTGTGTGTGAGACATGGTACCTTGCAGGACAAACATACACCTTCTAATCATTTTGGTTCTTTACAGACTTTCTGAAGGACTGAACACACTTGGTCTCCTGGACCTGATGAAAATTCACGCCAGCATCTTGAAGGAGGTGTTTTCTTCATCTGAGAGGCCTCTAAAGGCCACAGACTTGATCTCCCTGTTCCAAGTGACACTGTCCCCTCCTGGAAGCAACCGGTGGCGCCTGGAGAAGAGAGTGGAAGGGTACTGGAGAGACTTTCTTCTAGATGTGGAGGGTAAATAAAGGATTCACTCTTTTTGAGTGACTCTGACTTGCTGACACAAACCTGCAGATCATCAGATGTTAATTATTGTATTACCTCACTATTTTACAGATGGTGTGTTTGAGGTCACAATGGAGCAAATTTTGGTGTTTGCCTCTGGAGCCGACAGAGTACCCGCTCTTGGTTTTTCTCCTCACCCAACGCTGAACTTCATTCACGACGCAGGGCGGAAGTACCCTGAAGCTAACACCTGTCTTGTAAATTTGAAACTTCCTATCCATGACACTTACAGACAGTTCGCCAAGTTTATGTGCGATGGCATTATTCACGCTCCCACTTCTGGTCTGGCTTAAAGTCACTGACAGCTATTTTCATAATGGCTGAACTTTGAATGTCCTGCCTGCTAACGTTGTTCTCAGGTGATGATGTTAAGATGATTTGAGGTAATTGTCTACTTAGGTCTGTAGTTGTTGACCAGTGTGACACGTCCTAATTAAAAGCTCTGAATAATCAACCAAAGTAGATGAGGTTTGTTACAGAACTTGAGCAATGCAGTTTGAAAGTGTATCTCTACTAAGAAACTGCAGCCACGTCTCCCTATGCTGCCAGCAAGCTAACTGCTAGGTTGTAGGCCTGGTATTGTAGGAAATTGGAGATATTTTCCACGCGGCTAAGTAAATAACTGTTAAACATTTATCACTAACTACGTTTTGTAATGTCACATGTTTAAGTTTAACGTTTCAGCGGACAGCTTTAGGACTGTAACACATTGGTGATTGAGTTTCCTGCCATTAACGTTATGACTTTTAATTATTATTTTTAGTTAACGTTATACCGGGAAGCAGATTTTTATTACTTGGTAGAAACCATCGACTGTAGAGTCCCAATTAAAGACAGGGCAACATTTACTGTTAATACCATGAAACTGAGTGCCAGATTCCCCAACCGGCCAACCCCTTTTTCTTTCAACCTCTCTGGCATGCTCCCATTCGATACTGATATAACGTTACATTTTAATTATTTTTAGGCGATGGAACATTAACCTTACTGACTGTGTTTTTAAATAAGGAGCATCTGTGCTGGAGGGGTTTCTGACTGCTAACTGTTAGCTGTGGTGGTGGGAGGCGGCTGGTCCGGTTTGAAACGGATCGCTGGAATGTATTTCCCCCCCACCCCTTCATAAGTCAACGTGTCGTGGAAAAACTTGTTAAGAGGGACATTGTATGAACAGGACGGGCAGCTTGTCTAGGAAGTTAGTAAATGCAGTAGCAGTTCTGGCATTAATAATGGAAGAGAAACTGCAGAAGTCCCAATGATGCGAAACTATGAAACTGTATTTTCTGTAAGATATGACACTAACTAGTTTTAATCTGGAGGTCACACGCACCCCCCCACCCATTCTGTAAAATCTCTTGCACCCAATATCGGTCAAATTAGAGCTAATATAAATCCGTGAATGTGCAAACTAGCCATACAGATATATGATGCTCTTGTACAACCTATAGGTGACTGTAACAATGTAGCTTCAGGTTCTACTCAGTCATGCTCCACTCACTTGTGCTCAATTGGATACAGATTGATGGGAATGTAATTAAGATTAGTTTGTCAAAAATGTCACATTTTTGTTCCTCAGACTAGAGACCCTTGAGAGGAGCATCAGATGGGCAAGAGGGAGGATTCTCCAGTTGGACGATGCAGATGAACTTCTTCCATTAGTGACTCAAGAAGGTGTTGACTTTTGCCTAGAGATTACGTCATGCATCATGGAAAGGCTTTCAAGTTTGGAGACGCTTAAAGGTGGAATTGTTTTCAACATGCGTAGTCCACAGCTTGTCGTCCTGACTTTAGATGGCTTGACTGACTGATCAGGGGTCTGACCAGTGTGATTGTTAGTGTCTGTGATTGTACAGGTGCTTAGAAGCTATAAAAAATGACTTGACCTCAAAATAAATACCAAAGCGAAATAAAGTGTGTGAGCGTGTGGTAGTAAAACTAAAACTGCTTGCCTTCTGAACTACTTACACACTGTGTTGACTTATTCATCTTAATTCATAACTAAAGGACTGCCTTTGTAGATATCTTTAACAAACAAGTACAAAAATGCTCCCAATACATATTGGCCAGGGGCTCATTACATGCCATGTTTTCACAGTCTCTTGTAATGTGTGAGAGCCACAGGCAGTACTTCATCTCAGGCTGATATAAATCCTGACTCTGTCCTCTACCACTTCCCTAACCATTTATAATCAAAACACTAGTGGGGTGCAGTGTACAGCTTGGACAGATAACATTACACTGTTGTGGAGGTTGACTTCAGGGAATAAAGTAAGATTATAAGATTATTGTATTGTAATGTCCATCATATTGTATTTTCTTTTTTCTTTCATTACTGTTTTAATGTTTTATTTCTTTAAAAGCCCTTCTAGGGACGGGTGTTAAACACTATGGTACACACACGGATTCCTTTATTTAGTTTATCTATGTTAGATGTATTGGTCCCTAATAAAAATAAACTAAAATAAGACGGCTGGTCGTACCCAACCACTCGAGGGTAAGAATACCAGCGTAAGCCAATCAGGCAGCCAGCTCACCTGTGGAACAAAGAAGTCGGCTGGCCTCATCCCTCATCTGTGTGCATGATATGCAAGTTTCCTTGCACCTTTAGCAGCAAAGCAGTGGTAACTTATTACTTCATTCCTATGTTTAGACAGAAATTGTATTTGAAGGTAAACTACATTAAATGTAGAGGGTTTTTCCACAGGCTAAAAACACCAGGGTAATACACCGCCATCAACATCTCATCTCTATCCCTGCACCTGCACAACTTCACCTGTATGAGTGTAATCAAATATAGCTCTAATCATGAGAGAATGCTGCGTCCTGTCTGCTGTGTCGATTTTAAATGAGCCTTATAAAACAATAATTTGATAATAGTGGCTGACAGGCATGCATATTGGTTCATATCTGGTCATGTATTCTGTTTTGGCAGCATTAGAGACCTCCGGGTATCAAGCCCCATTGGTCCGGACAGGTGATTTTGGACGATCCAGCTACCTAATCACTGAAGAACACCTGAGATTCCTGCTTTCATGTGGATTTGTAGCTACGCAAATTGCTGAAATCCTGGATGTATCAGTCAGTACAGTTAAACGAAGATTGAGGTATGAACAACAGTTACAAGGCGTACACAAAATATTGTGTTCTTTTGTCAATTTATTCACTAGATTTTTGTTTTCTATCTTACTATATGTTCAGTGAAATGGGTAGACTTCTCAAGCTGGCAGTGGGTAAAGTGGAATAAGCTAAAGTTCAGTATCGTAATGTAATGCATATAGGTCAGACATTAAATTTGGGTGACACACTTGGTCATTCTGAGCATGAAAACCAATGGCCATGTTCTTTACACTCCAAACCAATAGTTTGGTTTAGTTTATTATTGAGGAAAAACGTTCTTGAGGATAACTTTTAAACATGTGTTTATTTTTTTCTTCAAGGTGTAGTTATCACTGAAGCTGCTATTATTATTGATGCTGTTATCTTTATCAGAAGTTTGTGTAAGATGGTCACGTTCAGTAAAATGCAAATACACTCAGATTGAAATTGAGTTCTGTTCTCTCCCAGGCGCTTCAACTTGCCCTACCTGATGAGGTCTGCACGTCTTTCTAATGCAGAACTTGATGAAGTCAAGTCAAGCTGCAGTCGGTTGGAGAAAATGAAGAGATGGGAGCAAATGCTGTTTTGGCCAGACTGGCTGCTATGGCTGTTTGAGTGCAGAGGAGAAGAGTGAGAGAGAGTTTGATTGGAGTGAATCCAGAGCGTTGTCTCACCGACTGCACCGGAGAACCTACAGTGCTGCAGGACCCAACTCGCTGTGGCACATAGATGGGAACCACAAACTCATCAGGTACATGCGGATGATAAATTAGTTACAGTGAGACTAAACACTCAACTAACAGAATCATTTACAGGCCTCTTCAGTGCAAGCTTTTCACTTTAAGAGTGAATATTCTGCATGCAAATATGAATTTGTTTTTGCCGTACTGGTGTGCGTTACTTGCATGTTGTTAGGACACAAGTTAATATTCAGGTTTCTTTCCTAGTTTATTGAACTGTCATCAGGTTTTTATAAATTGAGGTGTCCTCTGTTATGTTACTTGTAATTATGAGATGTTTTCTGCGTGTCTGTTTTGTATTATTGATGACTGACGATACATGACAGTGTTTCCCACACATAATGTATTTGTGGTGGTCCGCCACAATATCAACGCTGACTGCCACAAATTGAAGATTATTTAATTATTTGTACTATTTGAAATGGATCCGTGGTGTTTGACTGTAGAGTTGCGTGCAGTGCATGTATTCGCTCAGCACCTCGCTACCTCCCCCCCTCTCTCACAAACACATTGACAACTGAACCGTCTGTAAACAGCTGCTCCTCTTTGTGCAGCCTGAATCAAAACATGATCATGCGCTGCAGGAAGGCTTGTTGCCAGCTTTTCCGCGCAGAGAAGATCACTGAATCCATCTGAAGCTGAATGGTCGACGTTAGTATCATAAACACGGCTGCACAAATCTGTCCAACACGACGCTGTCAATTTCTGAGACCCACCTTCAAATAAGTTATTAGTAAGCATGTATGGAGCCTAGTTATGTTAAGAATAGCCTACAGCTGGGTGGCCGAGGTTAGGACACTGTACATGGCTACTAGTCAATGTCCACTGCCCCCCCCCGGCCACAGTTACGCTGTCATCCTGTGGGAAACACTGCATTATGTACAAAATTGCACTTTGACTGCACCCCTATATTTTTGGCAGGGGTAAGCATAGTATCCTGAATTTATTAATGTAATCTTAACACAGAATAACAGCTTTTTGTTTCGTTTGTAGATGGAGAATAGTGATCCATGGCGGAATCTGTGGCTTCAGCAGGCCGGTTGTGTTTTTGCAGGCTTCAGATAATAACAGAAGTTGCACAGTGTTTGACCAGTTTGTTCAAGCCACTGCTAGGTATGGAGTCTCGAATAAGGTGTGACCATGGGGGAGAAAACAATGCTGTCTGCTTGTTCATGAACATTTACCGTGGATTAGAAAGAGGAAGTGCCATCCGGGGCAGAAGTGTCCATAACCAGCGGATGGAGAGGCTTTGGGGAGATCTCTGGAGAGGTATGACTAATGTGGACCACCAGCTTTTCACCTTCCTTGAAAATGAAAGAATCATTGACTGTACCAATGAGCTGCACTTGTGGCCGCTGCATTATGTTTACCTGCCACGGATTAACCGGGACCTGGAGGTTTTCAGGCAACAACGGAACAACCGTGGCTCGCGCCCTGTTGGCCTCGCCATATCAGATATTTGTCCAAGGACGTCTTCAGAGGCAAACACAACCGCTCACAGCCATGGCAGAGATTTTTGGATCCGACACTGCTCAACAAGGGGCTGCGGCTGCAGTTCCTGTTCTGAATTGGCAAGAAAGAGTAACAGTTCCTGCTAACCGATTCGGTCCAAGCCGTGCACAGACGCGACAAGTCCAGGATGTGGACACTCTGGCGGGACCGATTGGTAGTCTAGCCATAGATAATGTTTTGGCCATGCCTCTGTATTGTTCCCTTGTTGTTTCCCAGTTAGTCTCTCGTGTCAGCTAGAGGAGATACCGGTAGACCAGACCGCTCACCTGCTGTGGAGGGGGGAGTAATTGACCAGTTCAGCTTCAGTCTTCTTTACCCTCCTCTTGGCTCTCTTCTCCGCCTTGCATACACCCATTTATAATAACAGTGGCATTTATGCTCTTACAATCCCAACTGTTCTTCTTTTTGATGACAGTATATTTCTCTCTGTGTCTCAGGATTATACAACAGTTTCTTGCCAGTCTCTTTGCCAACTCTGGATTCCCTAGCTTACCTCCCCTCTCAAGGTAAGATTACATTATAATAGCTTCACAGTGTAAGGTCTAGTGGCAGTGTAAGCATTGTTTCTAATTAACATGTGGTGTCTGTCTCTCTCAGGACGGTATCCTGCACTCTAATCCAGGGGATAATGAATCCCTGAGGAATGAGAGGGTTAGATGCCGTGATAAAACTTTATGTCCCTGCCACCTTTTCATTTCTTTGCAGCTCACAGATGTGTTTTTGTCAGTGTAGTTACTGGGTCAGTTGCAGAACACAGGCCCTCCTCCAGCTGATAGAGAAGATCTCTCCTCTCCCATCTGTCAGTATGAAATGTGAATGGCTGCAAGACAAAATGGATAAACTGACAGCACGTGTGTCTGATTGCAGGTTTAGAGACAAAAGTGAGTGGAGCTAACTTTACGTCCTATAAATGTAGCTACATAGCATTATTAGTGACTCCTGTTGCTGCTATTTTTATTTCTGATGCTGCTGCTATTAGTATAGATGCAGATACATGTTGAACTACGCACTTTACAATGCTCCAACCACACCATGTTCACTCCGCCTTTTACTGCCACACTGACAGCTTATTGCTCGTATTTTCCTCTGCTCCTCTTGCTTTCACATTCGCTTGTCATTTTCTGCTGCCTGTCACGTAGGTGTCCTTTGCAGAATGAGGAGAGGGAGCCAACTGTTAAATGTTACCGTGCTCACACTGTGCGAGTGAAAATCATTAGTTGCTTTTTTATATACAGTCTGTTAGTTGCACATTGATAATAATAACCCTGTGAAGTATCGATTTATGTACTTATTTTCCCCACCCCTAGTAACCACAGGGGTCTTGATAAACATTTCTTTTCTCCTGTAGACTGCTGTGTGCAGTGTCCAGTGCACAGAGAGAACTTCGCAGTGGGAGAGCCATTCAGACAGCTGCCCTGTAACCACTTCTTTCATTCAGAATGGATAGTACCATGGCTGGAACTGGTGAGTCATAACAAAGAGAGTTGAGCTTTTGTAAAATAAACTCACAAAACAGATCCTTAATGGCATTTAATAGTTGATATGATATTCACAGTGCTCATTCAGGCATTAGGACCTAAAGGAATTTAGAACATGCTACCTGGTAGAAACATTTATGTGGGGTCGACTAAAAATAAACATTTCCTATTGTTTATTGTAATGAAGGAACAGTGTTTCCCAGTGCAAATACGTGACGAATTAATGTGTTCTAGGAGAGGAATGGAGGTTAATGGCACTTACAGTAACAAACAATAAGCACGTGTATATATCATTTTGCCAGCTTTACCTTTAGAATTGCCTTAAAGGAATGTGAAATTACAATCAACTAAACATTATTAGATGCTAAATGCAGAATTAGTTCACCCATGTTGAAGTTGCCCTACTATACCAGTCATTTAACATTAGCAGTGTGGGATTTTGCTGAGGTATATTTGACTTACCAGACAAAGGTCACAGAACAGCCTGAGCATCGTGTGCAATAGGACTTAAATAAGGAGTCCACTAGTTATAACTCCCCATCAGAGTATCCACCCTCTACATGGACGCCGCAAACAGGAGAGATGGTCCTTCTGAGACACCTACCTTTCTCATCCCTGTTCTCCTCGCCAAGACACAGCGCTTGTCACGTTCTCTTTGCTATCTGTGGCAGTTATAATCATCTCAGTCTGATATTTCTTTGTATTTTTGTTTAATTTATTTAATGCCTTTCTGCACCATGTAAACAGAAACCCGTACAGACGTCCTAACAGTCGATTGAGTTCAACCCCATGTCTTCTCTACTTGCACCTCTCAAGCAACTCCATCTGCCTTGAAATGCACCGCTGCAATACGCTATTGTGGGAAATGCCAGACTTGATATGATACCGTGTCCTCTTTACACATCAGAAAATGTGCTAAATCCTGCAGCTGAGCCCTCAGTGGCATATGGGATGGCTGTAGGGGTTACTTTCACTCTTGGCATTTACAGGCTTTGGACCTAATGTAGCCCTGCAATAAATGTTGTGTTTTTGAAGGATATAATGATATTTTTTTGTTGAGATTAGGCAGGAAGATATTGATCTCTGGTTATTCTGCTGGTGTTTTATTGGATTGCATTATAAACCCATGGGCCAATGACGGGCAATTGATGGGGTATCTTTGAAATAAAAACCTTTCTCGTGGTTGTCTAGCTCTGTGGGTGTTTTTGATGTAGAGTCAGATGCAGATGGAAACATTGTAACGTTTCTGTTAATGAAATGACTTCAGTAGGCAGTTTAAATGGTATTCACACTGCTTTCTTGTTGCTGTATGATATATCCAGCTATTCAATTAAGACTTGGTCGATAATTAATCTTAAATGATGTTAGTTTCCCACCCCGAGCACCTGGTTAAAATCAGGACATTGTCATTATTTTACCATTTCATCAGGATTAAGGGTATAGGCTAGTCTATTATGCCCCCTGCTGGTCATAACTCTACATTCAATGAAAGAGGAAAGTTTCATGTTATTCCAATGGTCTGTATCCTAAACCAACATTTAGTGAGTACCACTGTTGTAACTGTGCAGCCACACTATTGTTGATGTAATGATATAAAACTAAAGATTGTTTTTATTGAAAGAGGCAGTAGTGGAGCAAAAGGAGGCAATTTATCTTAAATGATTTATAACGTTATAATTTAATGTCATAAAACCGCAATCCAGCTATTACATTTTATAGGTTACACACAAAGGAAGAAAAGGACCAAGAAATAATAGGTATGTTAAATAGTGGCAGGCAAACCCCCCAGGCTTACAGAAATGGTTTAACCCTACTACTCTGGAGCCAATGGAAAAGTACAACACTCACCCTTCAAACTGGGTAACTGGCCAAATGGCTCAGAATCGCAGGAAATCAACATGTTGACAGCACGTTATCAACACGTTATCAACACGTTATCAACATGTTATCAACACGTTATCAACACGTTATCAACATGTTATCAACACGTTATCAACATGTTATCAACACGTTATCAACACGTTATCAACATGTTAACATGTTATCAACACGTTATCAACACGTTATCAACACGTTATCAACAAGTTATCAAAAGTTATCAACAAGTTATCAACATGTTATCAACACTTATCAACATGTTATCAACACGTTATCAACATGTTATCAACACGTTATCAACATGTTATCAACACGTTATCAACACGTTATCAACATGTTAACATGTTATCAACATGTTATCAACACGTTATCAACATGTTATCAACACGTTATCAACACTTTATCAACACTTTATCAACATGTTATCACCACGTTATCACCACGTTATCACACGTTATCAACACGTTATCAACACGTTATCAACATGTTATCAACACGTTATCAACATGTTATCAACATGTTATCAACACGTTATCAACACGTTATCAACATGTTAACATGTTATCAACATGTTATCAACACGTTATCAACAAGTTATCAACACGTATCAACACGTTATCAACATGTTATCAACACAATATCAACACGTTATCAACATGTTATCAACTCGTTATCAACACGTTATCAACATGTTATCACCACGTTATCAACACGTTAACACGTTATCAACACGTTATCAAATGTTATCAACACGTTATCAACACGTTATCAACATGTTAGCAACACGTTATCAACATGTTAGCAACACGTTCTCAACATGTTAGCAACACGTTATCAACACGTTAACACGTTATCAACACGTTATCAACATGTTATCAACATGTTATCAACACTTTATCAACACGTTATCAACACGTTATCAACACGTTAGCAACACGTTATCAACACGTTAGCAACACGTTATCAACATGTTAGCAACACGTTATCAACACGTTAACACGTTAACACGTTATCAACACGTTATCAACATGTTATCAACACTTTATCACCACGTTATCAACACGTTATCACCACGTTATCACCACGTTATCAACACGTTCAACACGTTATCAACACTTTATCAACACGTTATCAACACGTTATCACCACGTTATCACCACGTTATCACCACGTTAACACGTTATCAACACGTTATCAACACGTTATCACCACGTTATCACCACGTTATCACCACGTTAACACGTTATCAACACGTTATCAACACGTTATCAACATGTTAGCAACACGTTATCAACACGTTAGCAACACGTTATCAACAAGTTATCAACAAGTTATCAACACGTTATCAACAAGTTATCAACACGTTATCAACACGTTATCAACATGTTATCAACACAATATCAACACGTTATCAACATGTTATCAACTCGTTATCAACACGTTATCAACATGTTATCACCACGTTATCAACACGTTAACACGTTATCAACACGTTATCAACATGTTATCAACACGTTATCAACACGTTATCAACATGTTAGCAACACGTTATCAACATGTTAGCAACACGTTCTCAACATGTTAGCAACACGTTATCAACACGTTAACACGTTATCAACACGTTATCAACATGTTATCAACATGTTATCAACACTTATCAACACGTTATCAACACGTTATCAACACGTTAGCAACACGTTATCAACACGTTAGCAACACGTTATCAACATGTTAGCAACACGTTATCAACACGTTAACACGTTAACACGTTATCAACACGTTATCAACATGTTATCAACACTTTATCACCACGTTATCAACACGTTATCACCACGTTATCACCACGTTATCAACACGTTATCAAACGTTATCAACACTTTATCAACACGTTATCAACACGTTATCACCACGTTATCACCACGTTATCACCACGTTAACACGTTATCAACACGTTATCAACACGTTATCACCACGTTATCACCACGTTATCACCACGTTAACATGTTATCAACATGTTATCAACATGTTATCAACATGTCATCAAAATGTTGACAGCACGTTATCAACACGTTATCAACATGTTAACATGTTATCAACACGTTATCAACACGTTATCAACACTTTATCAACATGTCATCAACACGTCATCAACACGTTATCAACACGTTATCAACACGTTATCAACCCGTTATCAACACGTTAACATGTTATCAACATGTTATCAACATGTTATCAACACGTTATCAACACGTTATCAACATGTTATCAACACGTTATCAACATGTTATCAACACGTTATCAACACGTTATCAACACGTTATCAACACTTATCAACACGTTATCACCACGTTATCAACACGTTATCACCACGTTATCAACACGTTAAGACGTTATCAACACGTTATCAACACGTTATCAACATGTTATCAACACGTTATCAACATGTTATCAACACGTTATCAACATGTTAGCAACCGTTATCAACACGTTAACACGTTATCAACACGTTATCAACATGTTATCAACACTTTATCAACACGTTATCAACACGTTATCAACATGTTATCAACACGTTATCAACACGTTAACACGTTATCAACACGTTATCAACACGTTATCAACATGTTAGCAACACGTTATCAACAAGTTATCAACACGTTATCAACACGTTATCAACACGTTATCAACACTTTATCAACACGTTATCAACACGTTATCAACATGTTATCAACACGTTATAACACGTTATCAACATGTTATCAACACTTTATCAACATGTCATCAACATGTTATCAACACGTTATCAACACGTTATCAACACGTTATCAACATGTTATCACCACGTATCAACACGTTATCAACACGTTATCAACACGTTATCAACATGTTAGCAAACGTTATCAACACGTTATCAACACGTTAGCAACGTTATCAACATGTTAGCAACACGTTATCAACATGTTAGCGACACGTTATCAACACGTTAACACGTTATCAACACGTTATCAACATGTTATCAACACTTTATCAACATGTTAGCAACACGTTATCAACACGTTAACACGTTAACACGTTATCAACACGTTATCAACATGTTATCAACACTTATCAACACGTTATCACCACGTTATCACCACGTTATCAACACGTTATCAACACTTTATCAACACGTTATCAACACGTTATCACCACGTTATCAACACGTTAACACGTTAACACGTTATCAACACGTTATCAACATGTTATCAACACTTATCAACACGTTATCACCACGTTATCACCACGTTATCAACACGTTATCAACACTTTATCAACACGTTATCAACACGTTATCACCACGTTATCACCACGTTAACACGTTATCAACACGTTATCAACACGTTATCACCACGTTATCACACGTTAACACGTTATCAACACGTTATCAACACGTTATCAACACGTTATCAACACGTTATCAACAAGTTATCAACAAGTTATCAACATGTTATCAACACTTTATCAACATGTCATCAACACGTCATCAACACGTTATCAACACGTTATCAACACGTTATCAACATGTTATCAACATGTTAACATGTTATCAACATGTTATCAACACGTTATCAACACGTTATCAACAAGTTATCAACACGTTATCAACACGTTATCAACATGTTATCACCACGTTATCACCATGTTATCAACACGTTATCAACACGTTATCAACACTTTATCAACACGTTATCAACACGTTATCAACACGTTAACACGTTATCAACACGTTATCAACACGTTATCAACACGTTAGCAACACGTTATCAACACGTTAGCAACACGTTATCAACATGTTAGCAACACGTTATCAACAGTTAACACTTTATCAACATGTCATCAACATGTTATCAACACGTTATCAACACGTTATCAACACGTTATCAACATGTTATCACCACGTTATCAACACGTTATCAACACGTTATCAACACGTTATCAACATGTTAGCAACACGTTATCAACACGTTATCAACATGTTAGCAACACGTTATCAACATGTTAGCAACACGTTATCAACATGTTAGCAACACGTTATCAACACGTTAACACGTTATCAACACGTTATCAACATGTTATCAACACGTTATCAACACGTTATCAACACGTTATCAACACGTTATCAACATGTTAGCAACACGTTATCAACACGTTATCAACATGTTAGCAACACGTTATCAACATGTTAGCAACACGTTATCAACATGTTAGCAACACGTTATCAACACGTTAACACGTTATCAACACGTTATCAACATGTTATCAACACTTTATCAACACGTTAGCAACACGTTATCAACACGTTAGCAACACGTTATCAACATGTAGCAACACGTTATCAACACGTTAACACGTTAACACGTTATCAACACGTTATCAACATGTTATCAACACTTTATCAACACGTTATCACCACGTTATCACCACGTTATCACCACGTTATCACCACGTTATCAACACGTTATCAACACGTTATCAACACGTTAACACGTTATCAACACGTTAACACGTTATCAACACGTTATCAACACGTTATCACCACGTTATCACCACGTTAACATGTTATCAACACGTTATCAACACGTTATCAACACGTTATCAACATGTTATCAACACGTTATCAACACGTTATCAACATGTTATCAACACGTTATCAACACGTTATCAACACGTTAACATGTTATCAACACGTCATCAACACGTTATCAACACGTTATCAACACGTTATCAACACGATATCAACACGTTAACATGTTATCAACATGTTATCAACACGTTATCAACACGTTATCAACACGTTATCAACATGTTATCAACATGTTAACATGTTATCAACACGTTATCAACATGTTATCAAGACGTTATCAACACGTTAACATGTTATCAACACGTTATCAACACGTTATCAACACGTTATCAACACGTTATCAACATGTTATCAACACGTTATCATCACGTTATCAACACGTTATCAACACGTTATCAACACGTTATCAACACGTTATCAACACATTATCAACACGTTATCAACACGTAGTCAATGTGTTGTTAACATGTTGATAACGCGTGAAAAATTAACAGCTTGACAAAACAACCATACGTTGTTTGCACTTTGTCCACATGTTGTCCAAAAAATCCTCCTTTATCCTGAATGAACAGAGACGAGAAGAAAGTGAATCCAGGCGCTGCGTAAAGGGGACATTTCTTGGCGCTCGTCGCTTTAACGCTCACGTTCAGCAGGTACAGGAGAGGATGCTGGGAGCTCACCAGCGTTCTCTGCCAGGATGTGTAGAAAGAGTGAGCGCTCAAGTTCAGCATGAACCACGTTATAGTTTAGATTCACGTACCTGTGAGGATCAACATCTCTGCGTCTTCCTCTGTGATGTTCGTTCCTTTCTGAAATCAGGACAAACCCAAGCGAACAAGAAGCTCGGCCAGAAACTAGGAGTTGTGTTTTGAACCTCATGTAAGCTTGTTCTGTTTTTATCATTTGAGAAATGCGGCCGAGGTGAAGTCTTTCATTTCAGCCGCAGACCGATATCCTCCCTATATACCTGTCTGAGTCAGAAATCAGTTCATCACCTACAGTTGGTCCAAAATGCTGCCGCTCGCTGCAGAAAATGTGAGCACATCAGCCCAGTGTGAGCGTCCTGCTTCCTGTTTCTTTTAGGACGCACTTTAAAATCCTTCTGATCACTTTTAAGGCCAGACATGGGCACGCACCTTCTCTGAGCTTTTATCCCCATATGAGCCAGGACGCAGACTGAGATCCTCTAGTAGGGCTCTGCTAACTGCTCCAAAGTCTAGGCTCAAAGCCAAAGGGGACAGGGTCTCTGCTGTCAGGGCCCCTACAGGCTCAGAGTCTGCTCCTGGTTTCATCTCACTTCTTAGACACATTTCTACAAAAAGCTTTCACTGTGTGACGCCTCATTTATTTTCCTTTATTGACAGATGGATTGTTTTAAAGCTCTTTGTTCCCCGTGTTGAAAAGTGCTCTACAAATAAAGCTTTTATTATACAGAGGAGGTGTGCAGTGGCTTTGGACCAGCAACGGACCCCTCGGCAACCGGTCCGGACCACAAGGACCGCGTGGACCACTAGTTCATATTTCTACAGACGAGACAGGAGGATGCTGGGAGAAAAGAGAGGCGGGAAGCTGAACTACCTGGTGAGGTCTGAAAATGAATCTGTGTCTGATAGATGATTCCAGCCGTCGTCGTACTTGAAACAAGTTAGCATAGCATCGCCCTGACTGAGCAGAACTCCATTTAGAAAACAAGCGTTTTAAAAGATGTTTGCTTGTCATCTTGAAGACAGACCTGACAGAGCAGGAATTCATATGTTCAACAAATCAGCATCATTTTGATCAGTTTATTGAAATGAAATCACAGCAAAATGTTTATTTTGGCTTCAAACCGCTGCAGGAAACCAGATTATTGAATTAGATCTGAGTGCATAAACAGCACTTTAATAACATAACATCTTTGAGTCCAACAGATTACTGTAAGCTTCTGATTTCCTCTGGTAACAGTTCATGACCTGTGTACTGGAACATAATGACTGCTAGTATATTGTGCTGGAGTCTACTGGTCCCTGGGTTGGTTTTACTATGTTGTCTGTTTTGTGTTGACTTGTACTGACTACAGATGAAAAACAGCCTTCTGGCTAAATCTGGCATATTTACTGAAATGTTTCAGCTTCAATGAAAAATCCAGCTTTATCTTTGAGGAATGAACAGAGAGACGAGAAAAACCAGAACCTGGAGGAAAGAGACTAAAGAAGTGGAGTTTCTGCTGAGTTCTGAGATCAACGTCTGAAGGACTCGGTACGCTTCAAACAAACTAGATCACGTGACGTCTGTTTATACCTGCTCCAAATGTCAACGCTGGAAGACAAAGATCACAGAGTCCAGATGTTTCAGAGGCCTGAACCAGGTCCACTGGAGGCCTCTGGGTTTAACTGCTGTGCTTTGATCCAGTGTGTAGTGAGGAGGAAGAGGCGCTGAATAAACAGGGACTACAAAAACACTACAGACCACATTTGTGTTCAGGCTGAACAAACCTTTGTTCTTGTGAAAGTCTGACTGAATCAAATCTTATTGTGTCTTCATTCTCTGAGTCCATTTTAACAGCTGGCTGCTTTCTGTTCTGTCACTAAATGTGTTGCTTTCTGTTTAACTTGCATCCTGCCAGGGTTGGTGCTGGAATAATCTGAGCTGGACACTTGAGACTTGGACTCGAGTCCTTTTCAATGTTCTCATTAAAGGAGTCGACACAAAGAGAAGCTTTGACTCTTCGTTTGAAACTGGACCTTCAATCAACTGTTTCCTTTCAACAAGATTTGTTGTGGCTTCAGAAAATGTGACAAATTGTGACGGGTCCAAAATCTAAAGACAGCAGCTTCCAGCATCTTCTAAATCCTGCTGCTGTAGAAAGTTCTGACATGTGGTTTAACTTGACTCTTAACTTCCTGTCAGTGGTTCTGATTTCCTGCAGCTGCTGACTTCTCTGTGTCTGTAGAAATAAAGTTTGTTTGACTGCACGCATTAGAACGAGCCACAAATATCCAGAGAGCCGCAGCTGTTATCCAGCCGCTGGGAGGTTCACAGGAAACACGCCCGTTCAAGCCATGTGACATCACGCTGACCTCACTCTGACATCACTGATCAGCAGGAATCAATAGTGAGTGTGTAGACTGTGTGTGAGAGTCAGTAGGAGGAGTCAGAGTGAAGAAGAAGCTGACAAAGCGTCCTCCTGTCTTCATCCGTCCTCCATCAGCTGCTTCACCTCCATTTTCTCTCTGATCCAGAGTCAGATCGGATCAATGATCAAAGATCAAACAGATTGATCGGCCATCAGAGGAGTTGGATCAGTGGAGCCTGCTTCTCTCTGCAGAGGAGACAGAGGACAGTCAGACAGAGACAAACACAGAGACTCTGACCTCAGTCTGCATACTGACCTTTGACCCTGAGATCAACTCTTTCTCTCTCATGAGGTCTCCCTTCATGTTGTAGACTTTGCACCTGTATCGTCCTCCGTCTCTGTCTGTGGGGGATTTCAGGGTCAGACTGAGGTCTCCAGTTCTCAGCAGGTCTTCCTTCATCTCTGTTCGGTCTCTGTAAACCTGGTCCTGTTGGTCAGGCTGGTCAGAGCCGTCTGATACACGTGGACCTTCTCATAGGGATCAAGTGGATCCACTCACTAGCGTCCTGAGGCAGGTTCTCTGTGGTCTTGAAGGGCAGCAGGACAGACTCCGCCCCCTCCTCCACCTCCACCTGACAGACTGAGAGGACAACAAAGCAGAACATGAGCTGCACAGACAGCAGCAGCAGTTTGAATAACTTTATTGACAGAAGCAGATGAGAGCAGCAGCTAACAGGGGACAGAAACACAGGAAGCTGTTGGAGATGATCAGAGTCTTGATGCTGCTGGGATTGTTTTGTCCATGTGCTGCTTCACAGTAATGTCTCCTGTCAGTGTTGAGCTGCTGGACTTTTACATTTCTGGATCTAAAGCTGAACTTTGAAGAGAAGAAGCTTTCAAATGTTTTCATCTCTGTTCTGTAAATGAATCTCAGCTCCACATGTTCAACATCAGTCCAGAACACCGAGACACACAAACATCTGATCTGGATCTGATCCCAAACTGCTCTTCCTGCTTCATCAATATTTGGCCTTTTCTTCTGCCGACTCTGAGCCCACTTTTCTTTCCAAACGGCTTCAACATGATGTGAAGAGAACTGAGCATCAATCTTTCATTGATCCAAACTATTAAAGCTGCATTTCTTTGTTCTGAGTGATCAACACATTTGGTTTCTTTCAGCTTTCTTCTTGATCAATACTGGAAATCAATAACTTATTGATCTCATTCTTTCCATCCATGGAAATGATCTCCTGGATTATTCTGGTTTCCTGTTATGACGTCATTTCTGATCACCTGCTGAGCATTTTTACACTGAAATATTGGTCCTTTTATTTTTTAAAGTTACTTTGCTGGGCGCTGGATAAAAAAGCCAAAGCTGCAGGTTGCAAAGAGGTTGGAGAGTTTCTGACTGCATCAGTAATAATTTACAACACATTTGTCTGTCCTCCCCAACATCAGCTGCTCTCACTATCTCTGAGTCATTTTTCCAGGAAACAACAAAAACCTACAGTTACCGCATCCATCGGGTCTCGCGCTTCCGACTTCCACTGCGTGTGTGCACGCGCATCCATGTTGCCTGGTAACGAACGCGCCTGCGGCGGGACGACGGAGTTTACCGGAAACGACACATTTTAATTTGTGATGGGCTGAACGGCTCTGGCATTTAGCAGCTACAGAGATGAGGCTGTGAACTCGGCACAGAAATGATCGTCCATTAATGAACAACTTGGAGGACGTTATCTCTTAACTTACTTCTCAGCGTGAGAAATACAAGGTGTGAGCGCGTGAACTGGCTGAAATGCGCGAGACTTGAGAGCCCTGCCGACAGTAATTAAAGACTTCTGACTTTAGTTGGTCTGCAAAGCAAAAACACTTTCCTCCCTCGTCTCTCCCCGATCAGCGCTCTGCTTCTGCTTCTTCTTCTTGTTTTGTGGCAGGTTGGCAGCCAGCATTTAGGAGCATTACAGCCACCTACCGGACTGGAGTGTGGAACAGATTATGTGCAGACTAACATAAAAACCAAATAAACAAATATGCTTTGATATTCCCCATGCTTTATCCCCAAGGAGGTTCTCGACAGTGAACCTAAGCTCAGCTTTCTCTATAACTGCTGCTATTTTCCTCCTCGCCTCTACACTCAACCAGCACATGTTGAATGCTCTCTACACTACTACATTTTACACAGTGCCCAGTTGGGTGTTTACCTATTTTATAAAGTGAATGGTTAAACCCTGTGTGTCCTATTCTAATGACGGTCTCTGTCTTCCGGCAACCACCCAGTTTTCTTCCCAGACCAACATGATTCTGTATACTGTAAAGATGTCTTCCAGTTTCATTTAGTTCCCAGTATTCTTGCCATATTTTTTGCATTTTCTCTTTAATGACTGTTTTAGCTTCAGATTTACTTAGCGGAACTTGTATATCAACTGACTTTGATTTAAGTGCTTGTTTTGCCAGAATATCAGCGTCTTCATTTCCTTCTACCCCTACATGGGCAGGAACCCAAACAAAGCAGACAGTCCAGTCCTTATGTTATAATCTACATAGAGAGCTATGAATACTAAATACCAGATCCAGCCTACAGGACTTAACCGATTTAATACTGGTGAGCGCTGCCCAGCGATCTGATGCAATGACCACCTTGCTTTCCTTATTTTCTTCTAGCCACTGTAATGCCATCAAAATGGCCATAAGCTCAACTGTATATACTGATAGATGATTCTCTTTTTAATGCCTATTTTGTATGCTGGGATGTATATGGCAGCTCCTGTCCGTCCGGTCTGGATCTTTAGAGTCATCAGTAAAGACCATGCGGTTATCTCTATAGTGCTGCTCTATGTAACTTTCTGCTCTTCTTCCCGTGTGTGCTTGCTTGGATTTCTTTTTGATTATTTGCTGTATATGCAGGTCAATGGATGGATTTACAAAAAACCACGGAGAAAGATCTGGATATGGGACTATTGGGATATATTTTATACTGCACAAGCAAAGGCTTTCTGCTTTCACCCATCGAAAACTGAAACAGCTGCTCTTATTGTGTTCCCAACATTCTTCTAGGTCGGCTTTAGCGCGGGGTGAGAGCTACAGTGTCCCTGAAGATTAGCCCAGTATGTTAGCATAATTCTTGTTCTTCTTATTCTTAGTGGCTGTTCCCCCATTTCCACTTGCATGGCAGCCACTGGAGAGGTCTTAAATGCTCACTGCATGTCCTTTACACTTGTGCCTGTTCCACATCTAGTTTTTTAAGATGGCATTCTGCTGCTGACATATTTGCTATACATCCATAATCTAGTGTAGATCTCATCAAGGTCTGGTATATTTTAAGCAATGATGTTGTAGTGGCCCACCAGTCCCTTCCTGACAGACATCTTAAAAGGTTATTGATTTTTTTGCATTTGTCTTTGACCTTATCAGTGTGCTGTTTCCAGGTCAACTTTTCATCAAACAACACTCCTAACAGTCTGATAACTTTTACTTCTTCAAGGGTTTGATCATATAATTTTAAGGACACTTCTTTATGTCTCCTGGAAAACATATCACTTGTGTCTTTGCACCCGACACCTTAACACCCCAGTTATTTGCCCACTGTTCCACCTCCACAATTGCTGCCTGTAATTTTTTCTGAATAAATTTCAAATTCCGTCCTCTTACCCATAGGGCCCCATCGTCTGCATACAAGGACTTCCCAATACTTCTTTCCACTTTTTCAAAAATATCATTGATCATGATGTTAAATAGTACTGGACTACACACACTGCCTTGTGGAGTACCATTTTCAACTTTATAGAGTCTTGAATATTCTGTGCCCACCCTGACCTCTATTGCCCTGCCAAATAAAAAGTCCAACACCCAGTTGTACAGTCTACCACCTATACCTAATTTATTTAATTTGATAAGTAACCCTTCCTTCCATAACATATCGTATGCTTTTTCAATATCAAAAAAGACAGCTACCACAATCTCCCCATTTGTCTGAGCTTTTTTGATTTCAGATTCCAAACATAAAATAGAGTCCATTATATTTCTCCCTTTCCAAAACCCACTTTGGTATGGTGAGTACAGATCTCTGCTTTCTAGAAAGAATGTTAATCTGTCTGTTATCATACGTTCCATGGTTTTCCCCAAATTTGATGTGAGTGCTATTGGTCTATAACTTGATGGGTCTGATGGATCTTTCCCAGGTTTTACTATTGGTACTATGATTGATTGTTTCCATGCTATTGGTATTTTGCCTGTTTCCCAAATCTGGTTAAATAATCTTAAAACTACAGTAAGTGCACTATCTTCCAAGTGAGCTAACATGCTATAACAGATGTTGTCCTTCCCTGGAGATGAAGTCTTGTCTTTGAGATAGCCCTCCTTAACTCAAATAAGCTAAATGGTAATCTAAATCATCAGTTGTTGTGCTCTTCTGTATATTGACACCTGGGTTCATGGCAAGAATGTTATCTCTGCACTTTCTGGCTTCGACTAATAAATTCTCTGAACTGTGTACTTTAACTAATGTTTCTGCCAACATTTCTACCTTCTCCACATTACTGATTGCCGTTTTATTGCCACTTATTAAGACTGGTATTATATAACTCCTTCTGATTCCACTCATTTTTCTAGCCATTCCCCATATATCAGCCAGTGATGTCTCTCTTCCAGTCTTATTGCAGTAATCCCTCCAGTATGCACGTATTTTTGCTCTTATAGTCTTCCGGACTATGGCCTGTGATCTTTTGTAATTAATTAATGTCTCTAGTGAATGATGTTTTTTAACTGCCTAAATGCCTTGTTTCTTCTTTTAATAGCTTTGCTACAATTTACATCCCACCATGGTCCGTTCTTTTTCACTCTGCTCCCTGTACTTCTTGTATCGTTTCCTCTGCTGCCTTTATAATGACTCCCACCAACTTTTTATTACATTGGTCCCCATCTGATAAATCTTCTCTGATTAAACTCTCACACTTATTTTTACATAATTTTTGAAATGTGTCCCAATCCGCCCATCTAGTTTCCACCTTTTTATTCTTGAGTTTTCCTCATGATGTATCTCTACTCCGATCTTAACTATTATAGGGTAGTGATCACTACCTCCTGATGATGTATTTAACACCTCCCATGTGGTAATGCCTGCTACCCCTGATATACTAATGTTAAATCAATTGCACTTTCTGTATTTTAAACACTGTTATATCTGGTGCCACTTCCATCATTCATGCAAACTAATCCCTTATCCACAATTGATTCCTCTATGATTAATCCATTAGTATCTGTCTTTTTACTTCCCCACAGTGAACTATGTGCATTAAAATCACCGCACCAGACCACTTTATCCCGTGTTTGCCCACCCACAGTATTCAATGTGT